TTTACATGAACAGAGCGGCCGAGAACGCGCGCGAGTTCGCCGTGTGCATATCGTAGCCCATGCTAATGGACGAAAGGGTAATCTGTAATCGCTAATTACATCGAGTTAAATCCGACGTATTCACCCTGAAACGAGGGCTGGGCGTGACGTTATATTCCATCCCGCTCGCGCCCCGCCACCGCTCGCGACGTCCGCGTTATGATTAGTGCGAGCGATAAGTCGAGATGTCTGGCGTATTCTCCCGTGCCGGTTATCCGGGAACGATTAACCCTCTTCGACCCAGCGACTCCAATTGAATTCGCATATTTTACGTCCCACGCAACGGATATCGCGCGACTGGAAACCGGCTAATATTTTTCGATCTTTCTCCGATAGTTGACGTCATGAAGCGCAATAATATGTGTCTACGTATAAATAAATTTAAATATGATATTATATTACTATTATATATATAATTAGTAAAATTCACATAACTGACAATTTCGATAAAATACAGAAAAGCAAAATAGATCAAATTTACAAGTGTAAAATTGAATAAAATCTTTGGATATATTTCAAAACTTTTATTTTTATTAATGTTTTTGGTTTATAATTAAGAGACACAATAAAATGTGTAAATGCAAAAAAGAGTAACGAGTTGATTTTATGCTGTTTACATATGAAGCAATATTTTCAAAGCTTGACGAAGATAAATTCATAAGCAACGAATGAATATTTCCGTTCAAAAGACTCGATAGAACGTATCTTCGAAAATAAACAATTTTATATCGTATAAATATGTTGCCGACTACATTTTGCCTGTGCAGCAGCAATCGTTATATGAAAAAAAAATTGTCGCGTGATACGCAAATCGATATCGATCAGATGTTTCGTTTGAGAGCCCGTATATAATTCGTGCTCCTGTAGTGGTGAGTAATGCGAATAAAAAAAAAAATAACGGCAGAGCGAGACGAAAAATAGGTTGAAATGCCGCCGTAAACATTCGTATAAATAAATGTAAATCTGCCCGACGCGCGAGAGCGTTACGTGTATAAAGCGGACGAATAAATGTAAATTTTGCTTTTCGGAAAATGGCACGCTCGAATAAAATCTCCGGACGATATTTCGGTGGTAGAAGAAGCGGGGAGAGCGAACAGGCTTAACGGCCGGTAGTAGTTTTGCACGCGTGGTAGTTGATGGTTTTGCCACACCAAGCCAAACTGATTACAGTATGATGATAATTAACTGCGTTTATAAGCGCGTTATAAGCGCGCCTGCTGTGGCGCGACTTCGTGCCCTTGCGGCGCGTTGATTAAAACTCGAGTGACGCGATGCAAAAACCCGGCGACTTTTAACGAAATTCTCCAGCTGGATAATCCTGTTGAAGGAAAATATTTCATTTTTCGAGAAGCGTAAACCATTCGCGGATGAACGAGAACGCCACGTTGCGCTAAACTCGTTATCGAGGATGATATACACACTTCGTTATTTTTATACTGTCAGCGCAACGATAGATTTTAGAGAAATTCCCTCTCGAGCTTACGAAAAATATGTAAATAGAATTTAAGACGTTTAATTATAGATACTTGTTTGATTCATTAAGCTTTCCGCGGAAATCTAAATGCTCAGCTCATAAAATGTAAAATATACTGAAGAATTCAGCTTAAAATTGTTTAAATAAACGAAACATCCTTGATTCAGTAAAAAATTTTAGGAAAGTATCATATTATTAATCTGAAGTTACTTTTCACTTAGCCAAAAATATTAAAGAGGAATTATCATTTGCTGTAATTGATTAAACTTGGTAATGAATTTTTTGGTATATAAGATTCGGAATTTAAAAAAATGTATATTTAAATAATATCAAAATTATAGCTTTGAGAAATGTCGTGATTTATGCTTTTTAGGTTAAATTGATACAAGGCAGTATGCGAGATGTGCATAAAGCCGACTCGGCATGATTATTCGCGGCGGTTATTACACGTTGCTCTATTAATTTCTCCGGTTGTCTCCGCAACAGACGATGATGTCTGAATCGGACACCGGCGTTCCGATTTCAACCGCACGTTGTCGCATACGTAATTCGCGCCTCATGCACGCCGATGAGTCGCGTTGCTCCCTCCAGAGCTGCTAGGGGCGGCCTCGCCGAGGCGCATAAATAATATCGAAGCGCGCGCGAGCGGCGTCTAAATTCGCCGGTTATCTCCTGGCGCTATCCATTGATAACACTTTGCCGATAAGTTTAACAGAAGCTCAAGAGAAGTTGAAACAAGCCGGAACAGAAGTGACGGAGATTTAAGTTTGAAAGAACGAGCTCGAAGACGCGGATAAATAAATTCATAATTTATTACGATCGCCGGAGAATAAGCTGCTGGTACTCGTAAGAATAACGACAGGGATTTTGTTTAGAATATTTTGCGCATACATATAAAATAATTGAAGTGAAATGAAATAGGATTGGATATAAGAAAAGAGAGCATGTGAACGAAAAATGATATTACAAGGGCCACATGATTTATAGCAACGGACCAAGGGACTAACTGAAGGAAAATAAAGAATATGTAATATAGGAAGCAAGGCAGCTGAGCAGATTTATGATGTTCTGTGGTGCAAGTAGAAATATATATAATAAATTACATCAAAATATAGTTAGCTAAAAGTAATAATAAAGAAACGTGGAATCGAATTTATCGTAGCTACAAGGAGTGGATTTAAAAAAGTAAATATACATTAATGGAGAATCTAAGTCTCGATTTAGAAGAAACTATGCGCTTTTGAAACTGCTTGAGGATTCAGATTCGTAAATTTCAAATAATAAACTCCGGTAAGAAACTTGTAATAAAAGCGATTGCTGCGTTGTTAGCTTCTTTGAAGTTCGCTACTTATGTACTTGATGAATGGCGACACAAGGGTATCTGGTTTTCTTTAGTGAACACTTGGGTGACTCTCTTAACAGCATTAACAATAAAGAAGACAAACGATTATATAAAGTGAAAGAGGGCGAGGGGAAAGTCGATCTGGCCTAAACTCATTAAATAGCAGGCTGGATCTCGTAATGCTGCGTAATGCGGTCGAAATGGGAAATGAGTAATGAGGTCAGGCGCGCGAGCTCGCGCGAGGAAGTTTGGTGCTCACAGAGATCGTATAATCCTTCCCTAATGACACGACCGTTTTTAGCTTTAATACGCGCACCGCCACGCGGCAGTGATACGGCGCGATACTGACGAATATCCCGGTCGCGTTTCCGTGCGCCTCGCGTATTTCGTCGCGCGGATTAGCAGTCAGCGCTTGAAATGTATGTAAAGTCGCGCGTATACACGGGCGTGTGCGTATGCGCGGAATGCGAATATCTCTGTAAATTCGCAAGCTCCTCGCTAAGCAGATATTAAGACTCGTCCTATTTTCCGTCCGACGAGCGCAACTGTTTTCGATGCTGAATATCTCGACAATTAAGTTTCGCAAATTTTTAAACTTCGCTGTAAAACCAAGTCTGCTAAAAAAAAAGAACACTGAATTAATTCTGTTTCTCTTTGTATCTTAGATTCTTTTTAATTCCTAATTGTTTATCGCTCGACAATTACCAATGAAAAGTCAGAAAATTCGGATTTTTTCTTTGAGATTTAAGTTCTTGCTATCTATCATGTTAAAATTCGGTGATTTCGGAACATAGTATGCGCGGCTTAATGCAAGCATACGGACTGGCATCAGCGCGACACCGGTTCGACGAGGCGAGGTGAGCTTTCGAAATAAATCCTTCCGTACGTAAATCACGCGAACTCTTTTTTTCGAAACGCCGTTAATATTCCCGGCGTTTTCCGGCGACCGTCATGCCGCCCGATCGATTTCGCTAGATTTTTTTACGTTTCCGTTGACCCGGATTGTTATCGCAAGAAAAATATCCTTATCAATCCGGCAAATTGGGTTTTCCGTGATCGTGCATGAACGATGAATCTTCAGATAATCCAGGCTGAGTGTGATCTATCAGAACACGGGCATTCGATCGCGCGAGCTTGCTCCATCTCGATAAAAGCTCGCTTTGTTTCACGAAACGATTGAAACGTGCTACGGTAATTACATAGAGTACGTCAAAGCACATTTAATAATGCTATCGATTACCGCTCACAATGACGCGCGCGGCTTCAATGAAGAAAGAACGCACACCATCAACGTGAGACTATTTCGGCAAAATTCGGAACATGGGATTTCCAGCCACCCGATTCACACACAGTATCTATATCAAGACTGTCCGGGTCGATATCGAATTTTTCCCCGGCCTGCCGATAAGCACCGCACTCTCGCTCGGTCCGTAAGGCCGGGCGTCTTTGCCCGTTTCGGGGATCAGCCATCCCGTTTAGGTTTTACGGCGGTACTTGGGCCACGAGCGCTCGGACTCGCCCGGACGACCGAGCGCTCGGCGCTTCCATCTCGAATAGAAGTTTTTATGCCCCGAGAGCTTATTATCCACGGAACTGCCGCGGGCGCTCGTATTTCCGGATATAATTTAGCCCGTCGGGTGTTTCAGCTGCTGCGCGCGGCAGGCTTAATTTCGCACCTACGTGCCGCGATCACGGCTCACGAAAACGGAAATAACTTCCTGCGCGTTACGAGGGAGCGAGAATGAACGAGCGCGTTGCCGCTCTGTGGCCACGGCGGTGAGCTCCGCGCGGAAAATAATTCAACGCTCTTGTCGTAAAACCGGCGTAAATTGGGCGCGGTATACGCTAGGGCGGTATCGATTTCCCGAGGCGTCCGTCGATTGCACTCTTCCCTAGACGTAGACTCGGACTGCGCTCGCTTTGCCTTCAGACAGTGGTTTTTATGAGAGAACTATCCAAGTAGTCCGTAGGCGTAGAACTGGTCTCGAATTTTGCGCTTTGAGAAATTTATTTTTGAAAAGTAAGATAAAAAAGTAAGATACAAAATTTCAATTTAATATTACATTTATGTATAATATTTTGTATAAAATTCTATTGTAATCATTCATTGACTATAAGTGAAACTTGTTCGTTTATCATTTGCAGACGTCGCGGCGCAGCTTCACCGTCACCAGCGTTCTCCATGTGCTCGTTCTGGTCGGCCTCTTCACCCTCGGCACCGCCGAGGCACGGACTTTCTGTCCTACCGGCTGTACCTGCGATGACGATACCTTGGTGGTTTCCTGCGTGGGCGCGAATCTGGACGTCATACCGATCGCGCTGAATCCTAGCATCCAGCGGATAGTGCTGAAGGAGAACCGCATCAAGATCGTGGACGCGGCGGCCTTCCAGTTCTACGGCGATCTGAAGAACGTCGATCTCTCCAGCAACCATCTGTTCACCATACCCAACGGCAGCTTCGACGCTCAGCGACACTTGGTGGAGCTCCATTTGAAGCACAACAAGATCTCGGCGCTGACCGAGAAGACGTTTCAAGGTCTCAAGTCTCTAACGGTACTGAATCTGCGGGACAACTATTTGGAGACGCTGAAGAGCGGCTTGTTCGCGTACCTGTCGAAGCTCGAGGAGCTCGATCTCGGCCAGAATCGCATATCGAAGGTGGAGCCGGGTGCGTTTCAGAAATTGGGCACTCTCCGGGTGTTGTATCTCGACGATAATCAGTTGCGAACCATTCCATCGCCGGCGTTAGCGCCGCTCAACGCTCTCGCCGAACTTCATATCGGCTGGAATGCCTTCTCCTCTCTGCCGGACGACGCGTTCAAAGGTCTCGAGCAACTCGCTGTGCTGGACATTATGGGCGCTGGGCTGGACAACATCAGCGACGGGGCGTTTCGCGGTCTGAACGCCCTCCGCAGTCTGAAACTGGGCGCCAACAAATTGCGCGAAGTGCCGACAAAACAGCTGGCGGTGCTGCCACGCCTCGAAGAGCTTACCTTGGGCCAGAATTTCTTCACGATTCTGCGATCGGGAGCTTTCCAAGGTTTGTCGACGTTGAAGAAGCTCGACGTATCCGGTGCCAAGCTGCTCATCACCGTGGAGAAGGGAGCCTTCTCGGACAACGCTAATCTGGAGACTCTCGCGCTGAACAGCAACAAACGGCTGGCTACTATGGAAGACGGCTCACTGGCCGGTTTACCAAATTTAAGACATCTTGCGCTGCGCGATAACGCCTTCGTTACGTTCTCGGAGTCTCTCGTCGCCTGGAATGAACTGCGCCGGCTAGATCTCAGCGAGAACCCGTTGATCTGCGACTGCAGTCAGCTCTGGCTGTCCGAGGTGCTCGTACCGAGGAACTCGAGTCCGGTGATATGCGCCGAACCGCCTGAATCGAAAGGCAAGCCTATTAAGGGCATGACGCCCGACGAGCTGGGCTGCGCCTTCTCGGATCCGCGCAAACAGGCTCTACTGGCGACGGTGTGCGCCGCCGGCTTGATTCTCTTCACCGGCGTTGCTCTCATTCTATATTACCGTTGCCGCAGACGCGTGCGGGACGCGCTCAAGGATTACAAGTGGAAGAATCGCGCGATATCGCGGAAGGAGCACGAGTATCAGAAGACATTCTCCGATGACGAATACATCGTGCGTTCGGCACACGCCCATCATCATCACCATCATCATCAGCCGCAATCTCAGCCAGTGCCCACGCACCACCATCATCATCATCTTCAACAACAGTTGCAGCAGCAGCAACAGCAGCAGCAGCAGCAACAGCACCCGCAAATAGCGGCCGGCATCAAACCAATACCGGTGACGGAACTGTAGCTAGAACTTCGGGCGGCGAGCCCCGGGACCGGTGGGGTCTGGTTCCTGCCACACGGCAGCACCACCCTCGCCGAGGGCTTCACCTACATCGACGGAGAGACGGCGCGCCAGATGCGCCGCCCGGGAACGCTGCCCGTCGCGAACAACGCGTCCGGTCATCGCGGAGGAGGAAGTGGCGGGGCGGGAGTGGGCGGAGGTGGGGGGAGTAGAGGTGTCGCAGACGATGGCACGGCATCGCTGAGTGCCGCGCCGATCGACGGGGTCACGTCCGGCGGTGCAAGATCCCATTATTCCAGTCATTCTCTGCGTCGAACGCCGCACTCGCAGCCGCAGCTCTCGGCCAGGGATCCGGACGATCGGATGCGCACCCTGGAGCCTGGCCTGCAGAACGGAGTCCCGACCGGTGGCGGTCGTCATCAGCCGTCGCCACCGCCGTTGCCCTCCAGGCATCAGCCCAATTGCAGCCAATCCTCGTATCCGACTCTGCCGGTCAATGGCCACGCCGCTCATCACTATCATCATCACGCGAGAGAGCGCGAGAAAGATCGGTCGTCCACTCGCGAGAGAAACCGCGAGCGCGATGCCGGTCCGCCGCCACCACCGCCACCGATAGCGTCGCACCGATCCGACAAGCACAGAGAGGCTCAGCTGGAAATGGAGCTGCGCGATAGCCTCGACATGGGCGTCATCGGATCGTACCGAGCGTAGACGAGACTCTACGACGTCACATTGCAGATCGAAAAAAAATAAACGGAAGAAACGGGAGATCTGAACTCGTCCGCATTATTTCGCGTAGTACGGAGAAATACACAAAAAGGGCAATTCAAGAAGGTGACGAAGAAAGCCAGCAGAGCTAAACTAACCGGATGGAAGATTGAAGTTCCTATCGTCGAAGCACAAGAGAAAAAGAGAGCCAATAAAACTGAAGGAAGAGTAAGGAAACATTGATGAAAAATGTCAAGAAACGAGAGAGCAAAAACGAGCGTAATCGTTACGATAGTACATCTATTGTCGTGGACCGACCATCGTCATTGATGTGGCAAAATCTTTGAGAGCTGACAACTTGCGAAGTTCCGAGTTATATCGAAATGAAACTCAAGTATAAACAATTCTTCTCTGGTCGCGTAAATTACGCTCTTACGCATCTCTCTGCAATATTTCAATTTTAATTCTTTGATTTTCACCTCCTTTTGGCTCTTATTTAATTTAATGTATAATAATACATCAAGCAAAAGACAATGGGTACTTCATCATGATCAAGAAATTCCACAGCATCTCGCATTAACTACATTTGAAAGAGACGTCGTCTCCTCCGGGACGAGAGGACATTTCGGAAAATTATATACTTCGTCAGCTCTAAATGATCCTTAGAGTAAATCTACTTTCTCGCGCGACCATTCGAGAGTTAATACTCTCTATGTCACCGTGGGGAGTCGTACGAACGAATTCGGGAGACGAGAAGACCCAACGGATACGGAATGACTTTCGCAAGGATTTTTCTCCGTCTTATCGCTGATGACCGCAAGATCAACATTGTCGAGAATGAGTGACGACAAACGGAAATCCCTCGCGGGCGGATAACCCGTGGGAAGACAGGGTCGGTCCACGATCCCTCCCCCCGGAAACGACGGGCCATCGACCACGTGGAGCCTGTTGTTCCATGTGATACACATATACATATACACACGCGTAAAAAAAAAAAATGATATATACGCGGTCGACCACTTGATGATCGTGCCGAGGCCGGCGAGCTCGATCGAAACTAAAGTTCGATAGCGCATCGGTCTACGCCGAGTGACTCTTCGAGAGGTCCGGGGACGAGAGAGCTTAACGAGTCGCGACTTGAACAGCGCCGAGGACGGAGAGAACGGTTCGAGAGGGACGAGAGCGACTCGTTAGGATCCCATCGATCGTCGCTCGATCGTTTTATTCGAGGCGCACACGCAACGAGAATGCGTGTCGCGCGAGGCGAAACGTGTATCATAAGCGAGGAGATACGGTACTGTAAGCAACGTAGGACTGCAGGTATATAAATATACATATTATACAGATATATAAATTTAAAAAAGTATATATATATACATAAATTATATATATATATATATATATATTCTAAACGGTCGAATTATTTTCTAAATAAAAACACCAATGTACAGAGGCACGACGGAGACGGTATAGTTGAGCTAGTGTCACGCGTCCTCGACTATCGTAACTTTAAGGAACTTAATTTTAGATCATCGTCGAATTTTTCGGGTACCTGCCTACCAAGAGGAAAAGGGACGGAAAATCGGTAAGCTGGTATCCGCGATTCCTCGATCGCCGAGAGATCGCGATGTGGCGAAACTATCAAAATGAATATTGGTATCACGCGCGAGCTAGCGTTATAAGGACGGCCGTGTTTTTTTTTCTCTGATCGATATGTAAGATCGTTAAGGATTTAACCTTAAGAAGGTTTACGCTGTTGTTAAGGAACCGCGCAGGTTTCTAAACGCGGGTATTGTTCGTTCTTTTTGTTTTAATGGATGAGTGTCTTTGCGTCGAGGCATCGATCTCGAAGTAGATGGAGAATTCTCGCAGTAATACTCGTGTTTCGGATGCATGTTTAATGGTGTTTATCGAAGGATTTATTATATCTGAAATACGTAACATTCCAAATTATTTTATCTTTATTTTAGCTTCGACGTATTCAGAGATGGAATAAAATTTACTTTATTATCTTTCACATTAAAATATTTATTATTAATACTTTAATATGATTATTAAAGCGCCTGTCATTTTTCTTTCGAATGCTAAAACGTTCTATTATTTTTATAAGTCTTTTGTTATTTTAATTTTATTTCGCGAGGAACGCTCGGTGTCCGTCAATTTCGTAGCAACACCGCGTATTTTATGAAGTATGCTCTGAAAACAGAATCGATCTATCTTGCCGATATCAGGATTTTAATCCGCGCGAGTAAAGCTGCGTCTCGTTGCAGAGTACGATGGCACATTGAATTTCCAATCTACGCTGAAAGTGTTTTAATCACAATTAAATGTGATATTGGTGTACACCACGTGGGTAACTTTCGGGTCACTTTTACTCTCGATATTACGCACGAGGCAATTCCCTCGGCGACGATGGCGTGCGGCGCGCATCGAAATCCCGCGGCCCTGATAAATCGCGGCTGCATTAAAATGCACAGGGCGCGGCCGAGTTTAAGTTAGTTCTCCGACCGACGTAATGGCTGTGCTGGAAAGAGCGAAAGGACGGAGAAAGGGAGAGGTGGAGAAGAACGAGAGAGGGAGCGATGGTACGGCGAAGATGTACTTTACGGAACGAGATTATTTTTCCGCCCGAGTGTACCCAGTGGAATTCCACGGTCACCCAGCCTGAGAAAGGTGACTGCACCTTGAATCGACTCTGGTGGCGGCGGCGGCGCGGTACAGCCGCGCTCGCTCGCTTCTGGGCGTGGAGAGAGTAGCGGAATTTCAGCTCCGGTAGAATCTGCAACGGGTTCGAAGATTAGGCTTCGAAGTGCTAACTCCGCGACACGGCGGAAATCAGACGGAAATTGAGCACGTTTAGTATTTGCAGAGAGATGTGTGTTGATTTGTACTCGGGCTATCAGAGAAATATCGCGATTACTTCCGGCGATTACTTCTTTCGGTCCACTTCCCCACCGGCAGTAACATAAAATCGTAGAGACGGTGAATTTTTGTAAACTGAAATATTGTATGTACACAGCAAAATCTAATTTACAAAATTATACGTTAAAACAGAACGGAAATAAATGTCGCGAAATAAAACCGCCACGATAGTGATAGCGGGTACCGAGCATGATTTATCGGCGGAAAATTACGAATGCATTGAACGGCGAAGAAACGGATACGCTGGGAGTGAAAGTTACTATCGATAATGGAGTAACCGTCATTCGGCTACCGCCGAAGGAAGATATATTGCAGCTCTATTTTTAAGTATAACCGCGTGGAATCCTCTTTTCTCTACCGCGGATGCGTTTGCACATGTCTCAAGGACACTCATCCTCACTCGTAAAATCCTTTCCACCCCGTTGACTCCATTCGGAAACTTTATTATTTCATATGCGACGCGAGTTTGTCGGATAAAAGCGAGATTTACGGCAATTCGACTACGTTCCTCCGAGATAAGATTAAATGTATACCGTTACTTATTGCAATTTACTTAATAGAATGATAAAAGGCAAGCAAGAAGTTGCATCGAACAAAGTCCTTTTGCCCAGAAAAATACTTTAGTCGCCAAAGGATCGAGATCTGCGAGCAACTGTAGATGAACGCTGAAATTTTTAAGATCGTAATTTTTGTAACTCTAAGTTTTTTATATCGGTAACAATGGAAATATACGTCGATGATCTTTCAGAATGATTTTATATACATTCCGTGCTGCAAAGTGCTTTGAAAAAGAGAGAGAGAGAGAGAGAGAGAGAGAGAGAGAGAGAGAGAGAGAGAGAGAGAGAGAGAGAGAGAGAAAGAGAAGACGAACGATTTAAATTACAGAAATATGTACCAACAATAATCCAGGTGTTCACAAAATATCGTTTTAAACGAGCAACTTTTAGAAATAAGTTCGATGCAAAATCAAACCATAATCTCCACTTTTGGAAAATGAATAGCGTTTTAAACGTCATTGCAAGTCTTGAGAAAGATTCACAGCATTATTTCCGCTCAATCTTTTGACTGCCATGAAGAAGAGCCAGACAAACAATTTATAATTTTATACAGTTAACAGTTTTTAATATTTTACAAGCATCTCGATGTACCGGAAAAATGTCCCGGATAGTCGCAGACTGCTTTAAAATTCGTGAGTGTTCGCGTTGTACTCAGATCAAATTTTACAGAATAAGAAAAAAAAATGATGCGTGAAAATGATCTCTCTTACCGATATATAAATAGCATTCAAATTTTTTTGAATATATAATTACTTTTACAGAAATATTATTGCATTTAGAAACATGAAAGATTGCATATAAACTGCACTATCTATTTGAGAATCGACGTAATGCGTGTTTTGTGACGCAAACACTCGTGAATCGATGCACTAAAGCGAGAGAGCAGCATTTTGGTGAGCTCCGTCGAAGATATTGGTAGAGAAAACTAGCATAGGGACGTATCTAATTTCGTAAGTTCGGAAGCCAACCGAAATATCCTGAGAAACTTTGTGAATTTTCGCTCGACGGCTTTATCCACGTCGAACTCTACAAATCGAGAGCAAATCGAAGAGGTTTCTCCGCAGAATACGCGCGATGTAACGCTCGTACAATATCGAGCGGCGGTGCAATAAGAGCCTCTCGAAACGAACGGTAATTCTATTTCTTCTAAAACACATAACTAAAATACTTATCGCATTGCTGATAATTTTACGCGCAATTCTCTGTACATTTTTATTTGTAAAAATATAGAATTTCTGTATATTAAGTCACACGGCAATGCTTGTACATGTATAAGTGAGAAAGCATTTTGTGCGTATCTTTCACGAAATGCGATATATTTGTTTCCATATCGTCATTTCAATGGAAAAAAAAAATATATATATATATATATTGTCTCCCATTTTCCTAAATTGTATAAAAGATATAAACATTAATTAAATATACTAATAATATTAATTAAATATATTATAATATAAAAATTTGAAAAATGTCAAGTCTGGCAAAAAATAAGTTTAAAAATTACTAAAATTATATTTTCTCAAAAATTTCATTAAAGTGACGATAGTATTTCCTATATATTTATATTTTCGTATATTTTATGTGTAAGTTACGATGCGTTTTCTATTTAATTCCTGCCAAATCTGTATTGCGATATTGTCGAAAGTGCTAACAGCGTGGACCGTAGTTAATGTGCGAACGGCGCCTAAGTTTAGAATTATTATATTCTCATACATACAATCGGTCTGGGACTTTCCCTATGATCCCGATTAATTCTACGATTCCGAGGCCAGCCATCGGATAAACCTTAAGTAGCGTATTTGTAATTAAAATTGCATTGTAAATGTCGGGGTTCAAGTATCATAGATCGAAGCAGAAGAGAATGTATTAAAAAGCCGTCGCGATGGAGGCGGGACGGTAAAAAGTGTATATTTTACGATATGATCGTCGTACTAAAAATCACCAGTGTAACGTTATCGTATCGCTAGTCAGTCGACGCGTTTCGAAAAAGAAAAATAAGAGGAGAAAGAAAAAAAAGGAACGAGCGAGAAGAGCATAGAAAAAGGGAGAAGCGTTTGAACGATCGAGTAAATTAATCGAGATATTAAATTATTGTACAAAATTGAACGCCGGTAGTTCGTAAGGCCTATTAGACTGTTTTTCCGTTTCGTATCGATTGCGTGTCGATACGCACTTGTAAAGCGCCGCAGCACAATGAAATATACGAATGAGAGGTGCGGAGATGCGTGATAAATAAAAATCCAATTCACAATTGACTATTAGACCTGTTTGTTTATGCTTCTCAAAATAAAAGTAGAAATAGAAATTAAAAATCAAATAAGAATTTCTAGCGATAAGAATTAAAACAATCACATACGATACAGGACCACTCATGTTTCATCGTATTTATTTTTATTAAACTATTCTATTGTATATTATATTTTTCAACATACGCATGCGTTTTTTTTTTTAGCTCTTATCTCACTCGTATATTTCATTGTGACTCAGCGTTCTAGATCGGCGTGGCCGATCAAAAGGCGCACACCTCTCGTCTCATATCTGTCATAACACACGACTCATCCGAGTTCCTTCTGCCGTTCGAGAGATAAGCTCGAGTTCTGCCATTCGACCGCGAGCCCGCGATGCCATTATCGGGCGGCGACAGGGTGTCGATTGACGAATTCCGCGTACTTAGCGGCGCGCAATGCAATCTCTCGCCGGAGGTGCCAGTGCAAACACTGGCGCTTATCGGTAGTCTCGATAAACTTAGTATCAATACGCGCTCCATACGCTATTGTGATCACGATTCCCGGATATATGCATGATAACGGGAACTTATGGTGTGAGAGCAGACGTAACGGTTAACCGTCTGTGTAGTACTTTTGACACGGCCTTTATTGACTTTAAAATTGGAATTGTATTATTTTATTTTTACGCGATTGTAAACGTGACGGAATTAGTTTTGTGAATTTTCGAATAAACTAGTTTAGAGATTGAATCGATCAAGTTGCGTCGTACGATAATTTATCTCGAAAAAAATGTTAAAGAGGTAAAAATATGTCGAAATAAGTTTCTGTTGAATATTCGCCCAATTCGTTAATAATTTAATTGCATTCGATCCGGGTGGAAACTAATTTCACACCCACGGAGAATTCACGGATGGTTAAATAAGTTTCCCTTCGCTAATAATGTCGCATGTATCGAATTTAAACGACCTAATTTTAAATTGTGATATATGTATATATAATATTTGATTCGCATAATACAGCGCTGTGCGGAATTGTGAGTTTTGTCGAATGAATCAGACGGTATGCACATTCCACGGGAAGATCGTATATCATTAAGATTTCGCACTTCAACAGGATGGCGGAACTTGAAGCTTCTATCGACCGATATCTTTAGGCGATTGTAATTCTTCGATCTCGTCTCTGTGCACTTTAGATTCGGAAAATGATGATAGGAAAATCCCGATCCGTTCCGAATCGAGATTCGATCGGCGGAGACACACACGAGCCAATACACATAACTCTATACACACACACTCTCAATCTCGTCTACACACTACACACTGTACATTCTTGTAAAGCATAGCGGAGCCTTATTGAGAAAGCAATATTCATCCTTAAACTGCTTAAAGTATTTTCAAGTTGCTAATCTATCGAACAATTAATTCCTACGTTAGGTAAAAGAAAAAAAAAAGAGATTTCTCTTCTTCGAACGGGAGAAACTCGCCGATCGCGAAACGATCCGCGATCGGCGAGTGTCCGAATTCGCGCGAGAGGAATAGAAGCTGCGACCCACGGATAACACGAGCAGTTCAGGAATTATCGTGCAGACTTTTCCCGAATTTCGATTACAGTTACGGCAGATAAAATAGCGCCAGGCTTGACAGCCACCCTCGATTTTTCTCGCATTTTTCAAAAATATCGCTCCACGAGCATTTCGCAAAAATGCAAAAAATAGCGATGCCATTGCCCGGAACAAATAATGACAAGAATAAAAGAGCGCATTCGCTCTTTAAACCGCATGTAATTGAATTGGAAGGACAAGTTTAATTACCGAGCAAACTTTCGCGCTTACACAAACATCGAGAGCCTCCGCAAAATTTTGTTCCTGCAAAAAGCGCCTCGCGACTGAAAAAGTTCGAGCATGGCCGCTCACCTAAGGCACGCTGAAATACATTTCCCCGCGAAAAACACAAATTAAGCAAAAACTAAATTAAACCCTCAAGTCGCACGAGTGCGCCGGTGTGGTAAATATCTGATAAATACGTCCTATCCGTGGAAAAATGCTCGGAGAAAATCTAAAGAGGGTCTCTTTCAAGCTGGAGTGCGTCTTTTGCGCGCTGATAGCCGCGATTGAAATTTGCGGGAAAATTTTTTCGCGATTAGCCCGAAAGCGCGCGCACTTCTGAGTGTTCCGCGTAAAAAAAAACGCGTGATTCCCGCAGCGTTTATTAATCGATGACCGCTGTACGCATTCGAGAGCGGCACTTCCGACCGCAAGCGTACGCTGTTTTTATTAAACGACCGCGTCGGGTTCCAAGAGGGATAGAGCGCAATCCGGGTCGAGCGGAGAGTAGTTATCACTTGGCGCATATATCGATCACCGTCAGCCGTTTCGCTGTCGCGGACTAACCGCGAAGTCATCGATGTCGTTATACCGTGGGCACAAGTAGTGAAGCCACCCCCGAGTCCGTTGTAAATATCCACTTCCTTATTCTCCGAGGCAACGATCCGCATTTTCGCCGCGCGTTTAGCTTTAAATGGACCGATGTGATTCTTATCTCCTATTGATCCAAAAAGATACGATCTCTTTGTATTAAATAAATAACATTTCAAATAAAATTCCATGTAATCGAAATAATTCAGATAAGCATGTATTTGGCACGATACTCGATTTACATCCTGTTAAACTCGCAATAGAATAATCAAATTCCTTTCGCACGGCATGTGTTGAGCAATGTGCAAATTTGCTAAATATATGTGCGCAGCAGCCTCATCTCATTCTCATTTGATTACTAAATGAATTTTGAATTGCTAACTACATTTAGCGCTTAAACGCGGCGCGGGAGGATGCGGGGCGATAACACGTTACGAAATCGCATTCATCGCCTATACTCGATTTTCTTCTTACTTATCGAATCTTTCATTAAGGTGTATTATAAAGGCGAGCCCGCGCGGACATTACGTCCCGCTGATCCCGCGGCCTTCTTTTCATCTTCTCTCCGGTGGAAGTGCCGATCCGATCAATGATCGGCCAGTGTAAATATTGTCGTGTGTGAACGAGAACGTGGAAAAAGAAGGCGTGCGGGAAAAGCGCATAGCGCTCATCATCGCCGTCGTGTTTTCTGAAAAGAACAAGCGAACATACCGACTCGTCGAACTGAGCGAAGGGAAAGTGCTTGTTTCCTTTCGAGAGAGTCCCTGGGCCATAACATAGGTCATTAATAATAATAATAATAATAATAATATAATAATATAGTAATAATAATAATAATAATAGGGATATTCCAGCGTTATTTTGTACATAAACAACTTTATCAACGGATATTAAGAAGTCATCAATAAATCTATATATAAAAAAATATTTGATCCTGTTCTATTTCCTTCCATCCTTTACTTTATCCACACCGGTAGTTTTTAAAATTACTAGCAAATGTGAATTGAATTTAATATTTATTAGAAAGAGAGATACAACTTTAATATATCCCATCTGTATTTTAATTGCAAAATTCTGTAAAATTTTAATAAATTATATTGTACCATTTAAAATCAAATGAGGAATATTATTTTAAAAGAACATGATGCGCATCATGCTTTTACATATGCTATTCAGTAATAAGTACGACTGAATATTTGTTGCTAGAGTTACTGGACTCGATATTTGCATCTGTGTTTAGTGGTGCATTTAACGCTAGATATGACTGCCTAATTCTGAGTTTCATTTATCTAATATGGAAATCGCATCCCGTGTAAACACGGGAAGAGATTCAGACAGTTACATTTGGCGTACCATGCTTCCATTTGCGTAATGTGAAAATCACCCTGGATGTGGTAAATATACCACGCAAATTGGACAGCCAGATCTAGCGCCGAATGTACGCTGAAAATACGAACCAACGATTTGTTCCCTCAAAGAAACCAGACTTTTATTTTGATCAACGTCATACACGTCGTATATTCGGAAACAAAAATGTACCGTAAAGACTGTTCAAGCCACGCGACTTGCTACAAATAAAACTATGCTAAATTTTCCGCGTGAATAAATTCACGCGATATCGCAAATGAAAAGCGGGACGTTGCCCTATATTCCGCATAATTTCGCTACGATAGGATCGTCAGTTTCCGGTAGCTGCGAGCAAAGTTGCGCATGCATACAGTAATAATTCGCGTGGAGAAAACACCATCCGACATGGTTTCAAACATTGACTTTTATTAAAAGGCTTTAGTAACAACATAAATTCACTGTTTTCCCTAATTATATACAACACTTGTTATCATTGTGTAACGCTTTAATACTTAAATATATTTCCGTATAAATAAAATTTTAAATATTTATATATAAACTTATAAACACGCCACACATTGTATAATATCCAGATATAATACCATACGAGGCAAAATAATTAATTTACATGCAACTTCGGAATGTATTTAAAATTAAACTCATCTAATTATTGAATAAATATAATATTTTTGATACATATCGAACATATTTTGGGAAATAATGTTAATGAAATAATTAAAGAAATGTTACCAGCTAATCTATGACTAAATCATTTGGTTTACTTCTTCGTTCTCGTTTTTTTAATAGAAAATTGATGCACAAATTACATTTTTTGGATTTGATTAAAGTTTTAGTATATTTGGATTTTTTTTCCATTTTTCTGTCAATGTCCCAAAGCAATTACGCGGCAAGTTATATCGTTTCGCGTAAACAATCTATAATCACATTTATAGTCACAAATTTTTCTCAACTAATTCTTTTTTGCCATCGCGATGCCCAGGCCCAGTATACTTGCGATACCGATAATAACACCTCCCGCAACAGCCATACCCACAAGGCCCTCTGTAAAAAAAAAGAAATAAACAAAATTCAATGCCAATTTTAAAAAGTTTGTTAATGTATTAGTTCGCAAACCAATTGTATCGTGATAGAAGACTCAATTAATAACAGAGGGAGAAAAACGTTATAAGTGAGTAGTAATATGATGGTATTAAATAGGAATCTCTGTCATCAATACAAATTTTTATTATTTGTACAAAATTTACAGATGGAATGTTAAAAATAGATGCATTAGGAAAAATACAACAATGATTATTGATAAACCTACCAAAGTCATATTGAGAGTTCTCTACTTTGTGTATTAAAATATAAAAACTTGATACTCTAATTGTCACAGAAAAAGAGCCAAGAAGTTAAACAATCATAAAATAAAAAGATTAAAAGCGTTCGAAAGATTATGGAAGAGATTACATTACAAAATTATGCCCCACAAACATGCAGCGTTACTGTTTTTAAAACTTAGTTTTTTAGTTTTTTTTTAGAATTAGCATGAATCATAAGGAGAGAAAGAAAGAAAGAAAAAGAGACCAAGTTATTAAGTAGAATAAATATACATTTTAGCAATCCAGCAAAATAAAAAAACTACTAGAAGCAACCAAAAATAATACGACTGCGTAAGAATATCAAAGAAACCCCTAAGCGACATTGCCCCTAAGCAAATTATGATTTTGATTCTTTTAAGCCGATAATAAATTAAGAAAGGGAAACCTTTTTCCATTTTCTTCCTTATTAACGTTTCCAGATGTTGTACTTGAACATTAGCGGGTTCAAGTTGAAGGAATGCCCTGACATATGACAGCGCCTTCGAGTACTCCTAGAAAGAAGCAACGATTAAGGATCAAGGCTATAAATAAAATATTTCATATACTTATTCATAATTATATCATGTATATGTCTTACCTTTATTCTGGCATTTCCAACGGCTAAGTAATATAGGCAATCTCTTTTGTCTCTATCATGCTTGGTATAGAGATCTTGTAACAGCAATATTCCTTTCCTAATGTCAGCCGAATATTTACTTCTGACAAGGCACCAAGCATATTCGAATTGTGTTGTGAACGAAACTCCGTTTGATGAACGCAACTCCTGGTTATATATACCTTCAAATTTCTAAAACATAATATGACAAATGTGTTATAAGATGATGCAACATTCCTATGTTTCTTACAAATTTACAAGTTTTCATAAGTTAACAACACTTTCTAATTAATAAATCATCTTGAGCTTATTGTATCGATCATGTTAAAATGTCAATTGCATTTTAATCTCGAAATATCATCTATTTATAGGTTTATTAATGAAACGGTACAATGACTTTTCTCATTGAATATCTATCTTGGTTATGACAATTAAAGATCTGCAGAACCATGTAAAAATTCTTTCTTGCAAATTATACCTCTACAATAATATAAAACATGATACGTATCGATAAATAACTATTATACAATAAATAAATGTAGATAAATCCTGCAAACTCTTAACCTAACCTAACTTTCTAACATAGATCATTATTGTCACTTTTTGATCGGCATTTTAAGGTAGCAAGGACAAAAAATACGATATCGAGACGAATATAATGTTGAGGGCACGAAAATAATTGTTCAAAAGTGTTTACCTTTAAATCTTCGGCAGAAACAATATCGTTTAGGACGTCTTCCATCTTCACGAATAATGTACGTAAGCAGCACTTCGATATCGAGTTCAGACTGCGCACCATACATCTATACATGCGCTACACAATCGGGGGAATCAGCTGGAAATAGTTACAGGTATATTATTATAAAATTACTTGACGTATAATGAAAAAAACGAGATATAAAAGATGAGAAACTCGGTATTATGATATTACATCACAGATAGTGTTATAAATTTTATCTTATTCTTAAAAAAAAGTAAATCTGTAGAAATATTTTTTGCGAACGTAAAAAACTGATTTTGTTGATATACTCTTGTAAAAGGAAAGATAGAAAGTAAAATTATTAATCAATTTTTTATATTGGCAAATATTCATTTAGTAAATTTTAATAATGAGACATTTTTTAAATAAGGATTGACTTCTTTACAAAAATAATAAAATGATTGTAAATTCAAAAATTTTTTTAATATAATTTTATAGAAAAAATTTTATATTTCCATCGATGTGAATTAAGCAAAAAGTATCCATGAATAAAAATATAATCTCTTTGATTGAATTATTTAATTATAATCTCAATGAGTGCTTTGTCTTTGACAGCATGCATATGATCATGAATGTTAATGAATGCATTATCAATATTAACATTCGCTTAAATACGTCCATTATGCTGGAATGTTGGACTATTAAATACACAAATAGGGAAATTCGTAAATTTATGAGGCTTTTAACAATAAATTTATTTATGTAGAAGTAATAGTACATTCTTGTACTTCAGGTATCAACAAGCTTAACATAATGTTCTTGTTAAGAATTAGAAAATATTTGGTTCAATCGCTTAGCCAATGAATACAATGGCAAACCTATTACGGTATAATAATCACCATCTATTTTTTCAACCAGGCAGGCACCTATACTTTGAAAGCCATATCCTCCTGCTTTATCCCTAAAATAATGTCCTACTTAGTTATGCAAAGGCGAATAATAATATAATAACAACCACTCACATAGGATCGCCTGTTTTTATATATTCTCTTATTTGTTTCTCAGATATATCTCCAAATTTTACTTTCGTAGATTCGTAAAACTGCATTTCAATTTTTGGTGTTTTTAGACATACACCAGTATAGACAATGTGCTGTTTATTTGCTAGACTGAGAAGAAAAACTGTTGAATATTATAACCAGTCTATGATGCAATTTAACAAGTTATTACCTCGATAACATTTGAAAAGCTTCTTTTTCATTCCTAGGTTTTCCATAAATAACATCACCTATTGTCACCATAGTGTCTGCGCCTATTATCAATGACGGAGGTGCTGGATCTGCTTTTAAACGTTCATATACCTCCAGTACCTTGTACTTAGCAATATCCTGAACATATTCCCCATGACCATTGTACTTGGATCTGTCAAGGTTCTCATCGTACAAGGATGGTATTACCTCTGCACTGATACGCTGAGATATTACTTATGTTCATTTAATGAATAACAAATAATCTTTGCATAACGAGATAATTTTGATGTCATTTTATTTATGTTTGTACAATATACTTAAAATTCTTTGTATGATGCAATGATTGTTTACCAATTGCTTCACTATGTCATGTCTCCTTGGAGATCCACTGGCTAAAATTATCCTGCCACTTGTTAATGCTTGAATAGTTGATTCTAACATCCTCTGTAGTGTACGAATGCTCAGTAATTCCTATTGACATCTATTATCAAATTTAGAAATGACATTCAGTGCTAGTTGTAGCAATGCGTTTTTCACGTGGTGTGCAAAATTCACTTGTAAACACAGTGTGGTTATATCTGTTGGTAAATGCGGACTGTGTGAGTGACTTTACACGTCGATAACCATTACTACTGATGCAGAGGACGCTGTAGTCAAAAAGAAATATACATTTGTTTCAATTGCATCTTTATTCTACTATCAATTGTTTAATTCTAATTTCTAATTCGGATTTTTTATTAATTTAAAGTCCATTAGGATATAGTTAAATATTACAATAAGTATTGAGCAAATACAAAATTATGTGATAAATTAATTATATATAATTATTTAAACTATTATATATTAATATTGAGACTTGTTAAATTCATTAAATATCATTAGTTAAATATTAAATAATAGTGTGAAGTTCCATTAACTCTTTTAAATATTAGTTTAAAATTAATTACGTATTTTTTTAATGAATAAAATTATCTCTCAATGATCTAACAGAAATTTTAGTATTACATTCTTTTTATTAATTTAATTAATAATGCATAGGCAAAAATTTAATAAATAAAATTGTATTCATCTTTTTAATTAAAAAATCTATAATATTTCAAGTAAAATTTATAAATCCCTATAAGTAAAATAATGTAATGCTCACTTAGTTATTATTTATTCTAGTATTATTATTGAGATTTATTTTCCGCTTTTATTCCTTTTTCGAAAGAAAGATCGAAAAAAATCAGTTTATTCGATTACACACACGTACACACATAAATCAGAAATCGCATTAATCATTGCGTCAATTAAAGTCAAAAGACTTTCGACGCGTCAGTTACAGATCATGTAAATGCGTGCTATAATCTGGTGCACATTTAACGCGCATTTGAAAATATATATTAGCGTTAGAGGGAGAACTGTTCTCTAAGCGTAGAAGACTCTAATACATCGTAATCGGTAAATTACGTAAATGCCGCATGCCATGAACGAACCTAAAGGTCAGTCAGTCCGAGGCCTTACATAATCGCAAGGCGAAAGGTTGACCCATCTTTACGCCGCGCAGCCTTCTAGTTGAACAAAGATTTAGCGGCATTTTTTCCGTGTTACTTGTGACCGTATGCTCCGCCTTAATTAATCAGCAACTACTCCAAATGCTCGCGTAAAAAGAAATTCTTAAAGGAATGCAATTTTAAATTTTATTATTTGCTCTTTCAAAATAAATAACAGCTTTATGAATAGATGTATGATGTAGTAGATAATCTCGCATAATAATTTCTGATAATACGTTATCTGCAAAAACGAATGTAAAGTCTGTGATAAAATTTTAAACACACTTAGTAATATTTGTATATATAGCAAAGAATGTATTATAATTTACAAATTGATTTTTTTGCACACAAATAGAATAAAAAATTCCAGAAAAACTGTAATCTATCAAATTACCAAAATTTTGTTCTACAATTGTGATTCGTTTTTTTATAGCTTTTTCTATAAAATCGAATATATTGTACCAAATTATACATTAAAAAATATTTTGTCAAAACTTTGTTGAAATGACATTACATGAGATTCCGTGGGATTTGTTATTTATAATATTACTGTTTTCCCGAATTTGGTTTATACCGCTTCTAAAATAAATATATAGTAATTATGCATCCGCAATTATTCGATTGAAAATTAGCAAACGCATACATCCGCCTGTGGTAAACAATTTCCGTAAACAATTAATTGCTTCAATTTGATGTAGACACGAGCAGGTAGTAACAGCAGGGTCAAGTTTACTAACGAGTGCACGTGGTGAGCGGTCTACCGGTATTATTTATTAGATAATTGCTGCTTAGAGTCGAACGCGGATGAAATATCACTTTATTGCCTTCAATCGCGCGCCTCAAGCTTGATCTGTAATAATTAACAATTATGTTTATATAATACGCTGCCAGAGTGTATCTAAAATCTCAGGTATGATAATCGACTCACGATTACTATCGCACGATGATTTATAAGCAAGCTCATTGTTAATTATTGATTTTTCAAATGACGACGTATCGCTTTATGCAAATCAGATGCTTATGAATGATAAATGAAAGGATAAAATCTTTAAAATTACAATATTTTTTAAAAATTAAATAAAGATAGAATAAAAGAAGAATAAAATAAAGATTTAAAATGAAATAGGAAGGATAACAAGGAAACAGAAATATGAAATTATATGATATTGTAATTTTTCTCTACGGATATTGAATAATTTTCATGCAAAAACATGTTCAATTATGAATTTTTATACATATTTTTTAATTTAATAAATAATTATAAAGGAATATTAAAATTACTGTTTTGAGATATAATAAAAAAAAGAAACGTTTATGTCGATAAGTTATGTATCTGAAAAATAAAAATAAATCATGTAAAGTTATTTTCTTAAGATGTTAATGTATATGTTTTGGGAAAATTATATTTAGTTATGGTTATTCACTCTGTAATTTTGTGAGAGATATAATAAGCGAGAGAATCACGAATCGAATCGCAGGTGTTAGAAAGGAGGAAAACAAAATACATAATTGGCTTGGCAAAGTGCATCAGATATTTAACACCGAAGCTGCCGTAAGCAGGATATCGCAAACCAGTTATTAAAAGCATTTCGCATAAGCCGTATCTTTTCTCGCTTTTCGATCAAGTCGGCTCGACGCAGATAAAACTGCAGTCTACACGACCGTTCATTATCTTAACAGATATTCATATTCTTCGTGAAACTCGGTTCAACCCTCTCGCAGGCAGATGTATACGATGTGCCGAATATCTCCAATTACGTCACTAGGATGATTCGAAGGACATATAACGGGTATCCGAGTGGTCAAATAAATCGAGTAATCTGGGACGGAATGGTTTATGATAATTCAACGTAACGCGCGCGAACGCGCAATTAAACACGTATTTCTCTCTTGCACATCGAGTAAAATATACTATCTCGTTCTATTCGATTTATTTTACATATACGTAGCTTTATTTTAACGATTTAAAATAAAGCCAAACGGTAAATTAAACATTACTATCTTAAGTGACCAATACGTCGAAAGATATGTTTTCTTTCTTACGATAATTTGTTTCGTTGATACTTTAAGTATATGTTTAGAAATTTAACACTAACTGTGGTGTTACATGATATAAAATTATAACGTGAGACTTAATGTATTATTTCCTAATTATTGTTACGTCTCGTTAAACAGCACATTACTAACTGTAAATTGGCATATGTGTATGCTGGTAGCTGCGGTAGGATTCGCGTGCGATCGATACACGTGTCTAAACAGGTGAAATTAACGAATTGGCCAATAAGTGAAATTGCTGACGGAATCTTCCTCCGACTTCCACTTTTAGCGTAAAGTGAGAAGTGACTTAGTCGCATCGTAAAAATGTTTTCAGCTATTGGAATCGACACGAGCGGTAATCACGGGGGCTATTACACCGTACTCACCGAGAATTACGCAATGATATTAGGAGCGCGATGCGGCAGGACTCGTCGGTTGCGAGCGTAATCGATGCGCGGCACGATGTCCTCTCGCCTACGATTACTCTCGTACGACGACTCGCAGGAAAATATACAAGAAGAATAATCGCAGGACGGACGGGGGGGAAGAAGAAAGAAAACCTCGTCATCGTCCAATTAAGCGCGATCCGAGTTAACGCGAAATTTTGCAACGCGCGCGCGAGCATTCGTGTTTTCGTGCGACTCTCCGCGGCTGAATTTATTCGACGGGTTCCGCCGTGAAAATCCGTTAAAGTGTCATAAGTGTCCGCGGGCCGACGAGCACAGCAATCGTGTCGGGGCTGACGTTATTAAATGTGATTGCGCAACTTGCGCTCGCGCGAGAAGCGGCTCCAAAGGACGCGCGCATTATGACACCGCGCGGCCTCTATGGGGCCCGCCATGCCGCTGCGAAGTGCCTGCGGTTTTGCATTACATGTAATACGCCTGCACACGATCGTCAGGGGCGTACCTGAATCGAAACCCGATCTCAGAACGCGCTGCTTCGTCGATCTCTTCTGCGCCGCGGCGTCTCCGACACGCGCGACGCCACTTCGATCCTGGATAATCTAGGATTAGTGAATGTGTCGGAAAGCTCCGTCGTCGCACGTAGATTAGTTCGTCTTTTTACAGAGAGTATTACTAAATACCGATCGCTCTTGTGGAATGTAAAATCAGAAAATAATTTAACTTTACTCATAAAAAAATGGTGGACTTTTAAAGCATTGCGAAACTAGTAGCTCATTTAAGCTTTCAATATGAATTCTTATGGATTTTCTTATGTACATTAATATACATTACATTATTGAAGAAGATTGCCTAACTTCTTTAAATAGTTACAATTAAGCATGCAAATGAATGGAACATCCGCATACAATATTACTACAAGCAAGGTAGTCTACTCGAACGATTATTAATAACGCAATCGATGATATCGGTGTCTTTCCATCATCGGAGCAGGAAATGAGCATCCGCGGCACATACTTCGAATAGAAAAATATCTTTGTTTAATTAATTCCATTGTCATTACCGTTTTATTGCTTGACATTGTATAGGCATTCATTTAAAAAAGACGGATTTCCTGCTCACTCGCATTCTCGCACAATCGTCTTGTTTGCCATGCAGAAAAACCTTGTTTATACCGAGAAATCATATTTACCTCGAGTTTTTTTTTAATTTGCAATAGATATTTGTTCAATCTGCATTACGCAGTATAAATATATTACTAACAAGCTTTATAACAGTTTTCCACGGCGATCACCTTCTGTTACTTCGTAATATTTTGATCAAGGCAAGTTTGATTCTAAATTAATGAAGGTTTCAACTGGGTTTCATCTTTGAGAAACTAAATGAAGATACTATCTAAGCATAAATCATCGCTAAGTAAAGAAAAAATTTTCACTTCATCGCTATTTACGTAAGAAAGAGACATGTGGCACTGTCAACACTTTTACTCATCTATCCGCATACAGATTTTGATGTGCCGATTGACGCGTTTAAAAATAACTGAATTACAAAATGGAATTTTTCTTTGTTTCTCGGTTTTCCGAAATTTCAAGCCGGGAACGAGCGGCAGTGTAGTTCACGTAATCGCCTGCCGCTTCGTTAGCCCTGCCTGCACGGATAACCATATACATACACGGGATATACCGACACGGAATCTTTGGTAAGTACGTGCGCGACTTACGTGACCGTCTCATCCTCTCAGCTGACTCCTCTCGATGCGGGACGATTTGTTCGTGGTCGTTGTGTGCGTCCCAACCAAGCAATTCTATGGGAGACGAGGCTACCACCCATCGGAATGCAAATTGTGACTTTAACGTTGTGCCGATAGTCTTCACCGGAGTCGGCCTGAAATGTTTCAACGGTCGCGCCACAGCTGCACGTTTTTACGTTGGATTATGCATCACGTCTCCTACGAGGAACGCCTTTCCTTTTTCCCCCGTCGACATTCTTTGTCAAAGATCTGCAACAATCCCGCATGATTTATTGGTTTTTATGTTATTCAGACAATATCGTTTAATTACATCAGCGTAAAATTGTATATTATTATTATGTTGATTTTGCATTCTTTTCAAACTGAATTAATAATTGTTAAACTATTTTTGTATTTTTTAAATAAAAGCTTATGAAATTATTGTTCTATAGAAAATGACACAAATTTATGGTTTGACTTTTCAAGCAAATCAATTAAGCTTACAAAAAGTGAAATGGAAAACTGAGAGAACAAAAATGAAAATAGAAAGTTATGCAAAACCGCAAATATTGCGCAATGCTGTAAGCATAAAATACTTATCAAAAGTTGAAAAAGAAAAATATTTGTATATCTGCAAAAACTAAAAAAATATCATATATCGTATTATCTGTTTAAATAATTTCAATTATGCAGTTATCAACCAAATGTATTTAAAATTATGTAAAAAAAATTGTAAAGATTTTACAATACGTAAAACATATTTTTACAAGTAAATTCAGAAACAAACAGATTATTAAGTAAACTATCTCCGATTTCAGTATACATGAAAATGATTCATTCGATATTATTGCATAAGACATTGCTTTTTAATTCATGATGCGTTTTTGGTTGCAATGAATATATAAGAATAAAAAACATGACTAACGAGTACTGAATAATTATTTTGTAGGATCGGCAGAGCGTATATTTTGTGCTTGAAGACTTAAATTAAATATCCAAGGATATCATATTGTGCATAATATTTTTTCAACAAATTCCAATTTATTCCTTATTTTTCTATCGGCATCTCCCCGTCGGAAGAGGAATGCTCGACGATTTAAATAGTTGAGTGCAGTCTTAATTAGAATTTTTCAACGAAATTTATATCTTGATATGATTCACATTCCCAGCGCGCCGGCGAGATTGAAATGTGTCGGTGAGATAAAGCTGAGAGCACAAAAATAATTAGAGATTCGACGATGGTTCTATTCTTGAAATAAAGATATCGATAAAATTTATTAGTTAATCTTGTTCAAGAGGCTATACATATACTATAATATCGCAAAGGAAAACTTTATTCATCTTCTAATTTTAAAAGTTCCATTCACTTGATTTTAATAATAAAAGTCAATTTATTTCTTACATTGACATTCTATCTTCTTCATGAATCAAATCATTGAAAAAGTTATGAGCTGATTAGAACGAAGCCGGACAATCGCTTGCACGCGCCTTAAGGACAGATTTCTTTCAGCTGTTTCACGCGCTGAAGGGCAAATCATCTTCCGAGGGATCGCGCGCGTTCTATGATATCCCCGCGATGCCGCATGAATGACGCGACTTAAATGTCGACGTATGGCCGTGGAGGCTCGCGAGAAAGGTTGCGCACATTCGATACGGAGATTAATAAAAGGTTCTGGCGGATCGCGGGCATCCGCATCAGCATCCCGATCGAACTTTTCGTTATGTCCGCATGACAGGTGAACGACCGATCGCCGTTCGCGTTTCGCGTTTCCCGATACGCGGCGCGGAAACGTACCGTACGTGCGTTAATTATACATGCGAGATGACGAAAAAATGATAAGACACGTATACCGATGCTCGACTAGTGCGGCGATTGCGACGCGGCGGAGGTGTTTATTGGGCCTCGCGGTTGTGAATGACTGGAAATTACGCAAAGCACGCGGTTGCTAAGGTTGCTTTGATGCGCCGCACAATATCTACGGGCATATCTGTTGTTTCCACGTTATCCGCCTGTTACGTGTACCTGCGGAACCGGCGATGCCACTCCGGCGCGTTATGCAGCGACTGATAACGTCTGCGTATAATATGCCTTCGAGGGAATATCTAGCCGCAGTTACGGCAACGGAATTGGTAATCCCTACGGTCGTTAAAATGTTAAAGGAGTCAGATCCGTTTCCGGAGATAGATAAGCGAAGCTCTGGTGTAATTTAATTTTGATGAGCGTCGAAAAATAAAACTCGACATCTCTCCCGATAGGACAAGAAACTTCTGTTCAATTACATTTTCGCGCGTGCGAACGGTGCTCCGTGTGGCTATTTTCAAAATTAAATTTTCGTTTTTCCGTCACGTTTCTCGCTAAGTCGTTACGGATAAAATTCCTTCTAGGATAAAATTAGGTCGATTCGACGGACTGAGGCAGCATGCGAGAAGTCGCAGAAAGACACAACGCCAACACGCCCACGTGCGTTCTCTCACGCTATCATCACCGGAGTCATTACGAAAATGTCAAAAGCGAAATCGCGAAATTTCGCTTGCGAATCCTCGCGGAAGCAAAGGGGCGCAGTTCCCGTATAAGCAACGTAACGAGCGTCTAATTACGAACGATGAAAGTCGAGCAAAGTGTATCTCGGGGAATCGAACGATCACCCTCGCGCGCAATTGCAGGCTGCGACTTTGCGAGATGCAACTCGAAGAATGCGTCGCGTAACGGTCGGCGTAATTCATTTCAAGGTCTGCCGTGCACCGGCGCGATAAAAACGAATCGTGACGAATAAAATTGCTGGCTTACGAAAATTGTAAATCAGCACTTTGTGCCGCCAGCAAAGGACAGAATTGAACGAGTGACATCTAAATCAATCATCTTGGAGCTAAAATTGAGAAATAAGTTGCTAAATATTATTTTCTTATGGAAAAAAATGTTGTAAAATATGTGCCGTGAATGTAATTTACAGCGTAATAATGTAAACATCGTGGAGTTAACAGAATAATCAAATGAGTAAAAATTAACTCACAAATGTATGTGTATCTACATAAAAGAGCAGTAAAAAATTTTATATTTACATTTCATATTGGATTTACCTATACACAATTATTTTCGCAATAGTTCTCAAAATATCTTTAATTCACTCAAGCAGTACACGATTGATGATAACGCGATCGCGAAATAATACGATCACGTTCAATTTAAATTATAATATAGCAATTTCGATGAATCTTGCGCGAAGAATCATTCGCGGATCTTTGTAATTTGTCGCCTCTCTCATTGTACTTCTCTTAATAATCTAATCGCGGATTTATGATCTGGCGATAATTATAAAAGTCAAAAGTAGCCGATAGCAATCGCAAAGGTCAGTCGCGTGGTTCAACGTTGACGTGTTACTTTATAAAGAAAGAACGAAATGGAAAATATTATATATGCAAATACAATATCCGTTCAATGAAGTTATGAAGATTTTGATTTCCAAGAATATCAAGCACGCACAAGTTGAAGCGCTACTGCGCAATAATCTTTTGATTTCTGCGATTCCTGAAAACGGCGAGTTGTTATTGCTATGTACTGTTTCAACATAACGATGATGTCATGAGCACAGCCTCAAAAACTCAATCGTGAGAGTTACAAAAGTGTTAAAAAAATGCTAAAGAAATGAATGGCTGTTTTAATCGTTTATCATTCAGTTTTAAGTAAATACATGCATGTAAATCATGTATAAACATAATAATAAAAATGAAATTAAAATAAACATGAGCGTGATAAAGTGAGATATAAATATATTGAAAAATATGAAAAAAAGAGTATAAAAATAATGTGATAATAGCGAGATAAAATGAAATATCGAAAGTAAATGGCATATACATGCATGTATAATGTTACATCAGTTACAACCAAACATCTGTTAAACGTGCATATGAACAAATAAACGCGAATTTCATCGCAACTGAAGAAATATATGTGTTGCCCGCGTTAAGATTATCATCTGCATATAGAATTCAACAAGCGGCTTATCAGCGACTTGACACTCGTGCATAAAGTATATGCGCTTCCCGTACATGCATTACCCGAACACACTATCACGGTACGTGTCGCGACGTTATGAATGGTGCGAGGAAATCACCACTACGTCACCATGCTGCGACGGTACTACGTCGATGCAACCGTAATCGACCTAGACATTGCATCCCTGCACGCATCCGATAGTCGAACGCGATACACTTTGCTCTACTTCGTGGAATCGCGATCGTGTGAGTTGCGTAATTACGTCAAAGTAATTACTGCTAATCATCTCGAGACTCTAAAGAGATAATTGGAAAAATAATGGAAAGAATAATATCCGTCTGCTGATAATGAATATGTTAACAATAGTTGCCATTTCAATGAAATACAAAATATTCCAGGATCATTTAGACTTTTTTATTGCAGAGAAAAGAAGTTTAAAATGACAAAAAATTTATAATTAACCCCTCGTCCCTCGAGAGGCAACTCTCACTCACCACCTGGCTTAATGCAGCAACTCGAATGGCAATTGAGGCGATAATAATAACTGTCAATAGATATCTTTCCTCTTTACATTTTAGATGTTTGAGTTTATTGTGCACTTCATAGTACAGCATTGTGTTTAAAATTATTATTTTCAATTTAGTCTGCTTTAGTGGTTGCAAAAATAGCAAGAAATCCTTCGAGTGCAAAGGATCAAAAAATCATTCTGCACGATATATAAGTGTATACTAATAAAGTTTAATATATCAAAGAAAAAGAAAATCCTCTTTTCAAAAAGAAACTGAAGATAACAAAATTATGATATGCAATCAATAGCGTAAGAAGATTATGTTTTCCTTATAGCTATAGCTAGAATAAAACGTTAAATTTCTCTTGTTACATCGATAAATTAAAAAAATTTTTAAAATAGAAATAATAAGTAATAATACTCTGCTTTATCGAGGACTATCACATGTGATATTTTAAACATGATATGCGTATTATAAAATAATATACGTAAAACAGGTTTTGCATGTTTGTACTTCTACAGAACAACATATTTTATTCTAAATTCTTGACAAAAAATATTTCAAATTCATGGGAGACCAAAACTATGTCTTGTCTCCTCCCCGCGAAGAATGCGGGTCGGATGTTCGATCGAGTAGCATACCGGAATCAATCTCGACCGTTCACATGCCCGAACGCGCGAAGGAGGGGGTAGGGAGGGGACCAATGAGCAAAATAAATAAATAAAAAAAAAAAAAAGCAAATGGAGTCTTCATTCCTGATTCATCCCAGGCATTTTTCCGAAGATGCACTGGTCAGGAGAAGAAGTGTATTGTGAAGAGAGGGCAGGGATGACCCCTTTCACTGCACCACGTTGGCATCGTCGCGTATATAAAGAGCCGAAGCGTCTGACGAGAAGAAGCACAAGTACCACCAACCCATCTGCATCTCAAGCAAGCTCTTCTGGTCGTCGGCGCACGTGTGACAGAGAGATTATGTACACTATTAAGGTAAGTACACGCACGCTGGCCGTCGCCGCGACGACGTCGTTCCGCATCGCTCGCTCCTCTCTCGCTCGAGCTCTCGGTACCGTCATCCGCGCGGCAGTCCTCTCTTGCGATAGCAAACGCGCCGCGCAAACGAGAGAGCAAACACGGACAACGGGTTCGTCGTGGAAATTTCGACTCATCCATCATGCGCGGAAATGCGTCCGCGGGGCGACGTTGGGTAACGACGAACGTCTCGGGGTCCCTGGGGCTAGAAGACGTCCCGCTGTCACGAGATTAGTGTAAGTCGGACCAGGACGACTTCTCGAACTCGCGATTTGTCGGCGGCGATATGGGACGACGTTTCGGCGAGACGTTTCAAATTGCGCAAGTTTCGTTGCGCTCCTTCGGCGTTATGTACTTGTGTAATTAACGTCGCGCCGGGGCCGTTCGAGACGATCGTTTCGCAAGGGGCCTAAGTCAGCCGTGATAAGCTATCAATATTAGTAATTAGACGAACGCTTTCTACATATTTTAATTTGAAAATGCGTGCTAGTGTATGCCTCTTATAATTCGTTTCGCTTGAAAGAAAAATTGGACTGTGAACGACGCATTTATAGTATTTGTTCTTTCCCGTTGATAAGAGGATGAATATCGAACAATATTTTGAACGCGAGAGAAGTATATCTCATTAAAACTTAATATTTCTTCCAATAACACAAAAAAAGTATCCAAAAACCTCAACGTCTTTACGATCATGTGTCTTTTGTCATTTTGCAAGCGGTTGATAGTACGAGTGATTCATGATCCGAGGAAAGAAATCGTCGCGCATCGACTGTAACAACTCGCGCGGATTATGTTTCGCATCGCATACAAACGCCGAGCGGACTTATCGGTAATGGGGAACGCTTAGATCGCTTTTTCAGCGAGTTATTATAAGAAAAGGACCTCGGTGCTCGCATTTGCTCCGGCCGCTGTTCCCGAGGAATGAATTTAAACGCCATTCGAATCCTCTCTTCGGCGCGCGCGCTTCCGATATCAGCAGAATTTTTCACGAGGAGCCGTCCGCGGAAATGAACCGATAAACTTTGTGCGACTTCGGCAATTTTTCCGGCGCTCTCTCGTATATTAGTAAATATGAAATACGCCGTGCACTATCGAGGAGAAGAGCGACGTATCACGTCCGTGTCTATATGCAGCATCATATTGCACACGAGGCCGAATCGTGCGCCGGAGAAATTCTTTCGAACCCCTGGCATTACTATCCGACATTCGAAAATACGTCGTGCATCTTTTATAAGTCACATTCCGGAAACGCATGCGTCTCTTTCGCCGCTTAAATATATTAGATATTATCTCCAGTTTGAAAATACGGAATTTGTTGCTGCGCAGAGTTAAAAGAGAAGCAAGTAGCGCGCACTCGAAATTCGCGTGCAATATATTTTACGTACCGAGAATAGAAAAAGTTAAAATACGTTTCACGGTTTTTTTTTACGCTCCATATAAATCTTGCTATATAAATAATAAATAAATTCTCATTTTTTATTTAACGCTAAATTCGATTTTCTAGCTTTGAATTTTATATACGATGCCTGAAACGTCGTAAAATTAGAATCAGACCTCTAGATTTAATTGAACACAAATGTTGGCGCTCTTCGTAATTAATTTTATATCAAATTAATTAGTAAAATAATGATGATATCGCGACAATTTGTCCAAGAAGGTAAAAATAAATTTATCAAATTTATCGCAACGTTATATCATCGTCGAGTTTTTACATAGTGCTGCTACTTGTCGCCTGTGTCTGTATGACTTTTACGGTTTCTTCATCCTTTTGCAACGTCGTCGTGCTTCTTCTAATTCGAGGTTCTGCGTTACTCTTGACGTTTCTAATTTCTGCTAAGACAACACTTTAATGTCCCCAACGGCTACGTTTTGTTGCGAGAGGGTTGCTTTGTAATGTTATACCGAATGTTGCCGGCCCGGAGATAATAATAATTTCAACAGCTATTTGTGAGATATATCGTTCGCAAAGCGCGAGGCTAGTCTCTATGATGCGTGGCATGTGACGCATACCAAACAAATATGGAATTGCGAATATAATTGCCAGAATGAATGGGACGGGGAGTTACATCATACAGTAGCTTCTTGGTGACACTTCTTTCTTTACAAATGATAATTGCACACGCATTCTTGGAGCTTCGGCACGCATACGCACATTATTCCGATGATGCGTTCCATGAAGAAAATGAGATGACGCTGCGGTCGTCATTTGTATGGCTAATTATTGGTTAATTATGATGATTTTGGAACGTTGCAAAATTTGCGCGGGTATTAACGAGATAAATTTTCTTTACATTACATTTACATATTGGAAAATGTAAATTATAAATTCGGCACTGTATATGTTTTATATTTACCGTGAATTATGGAACGATTTTATAGTTATTTGTATACGAACTTGCGGATGTATTTAATTTGAATGCAAGGATATTTTTAGATTTTCAAACACGGACAAACGCTTGTGTGTAAAGTAAATCGCGTGTATCTTTCAAGGCGGATTATCGTTTAATATGTTACACAGCGGAAGCGCGTAACCGTGTTCTTGCACTGCGTCATTGAAATCGGAATCCTCAATGTCAACCTATCGAGCGCGATATATATCGACTTCCCGACAATTTTCAATTAAAACAACACGCAAAAAAGCATCTTATAACTTGTTAATCATATTTTATTACCGCCTTGTAACATAATCAGTTTCTCCGTGAGGTTATTTTCAAATTGCAGCATCATCTACTGGCGCATGCTTATGCTTATGAAATGCAAATCCTGATTACCGTCGTTACAACGTAATCAAACTTGCTGTAAAGATAAACATTGTTAACAATCTGAGATATTCCAGCTCGAGGCAAATGCGAAATTTCATCCGTATTGTGCTCCTTGTTTTCCAATAGAATTCAAAAACAAGATACTTTCAGCAATATATGTTGAGAAATTTGAATGTTAAGCGTAAAACTTGAAAGACAATAAAAATTTAATGGAATGTAATTATTTGTTGTTATAGTAGCGAGTTCTTTTCAAGTGAATTTAATTTTCATCTCATTATTGTTCGACATTATTGTTCACAATATACGTAATTTCAACGTTGTATTCAATATTGTATTCGGTAGCATAAATGACATTATGTATTAAAAACTGTCGCGCAATTTCACCGCTAAAATCAGCTGACGAAAAATTCAACATTGCAGTCGCGCGCGCGTCTCGAAGGAGTGCTTCCTGCACGATCCTGCGACCTTACGTGGAAAATAGAAGCGCCTTGATCTCTCCGTCTTTCATAATTCACCGCGTTATTGCATGCAGCACAGAACCGGTGGTTCAGCACGACGTCGTCATTACATGATAATTCTCTCTGCATCTCGCTCCCCGCCACATCCACAAGATTTTCCACGCTTCGTCATTTTCCCGGTCACTTAATAACGGGCTTGCCGATCAATTAGCATTTTAGATAACGATTTGTTTGCCGAGATAACAATTACGTGAGCGCGAGGCGTGAAACAATCCCGAGGCATTCGCAACCGATCGAGAGAAACAAGAAAAAAAAAAAATAAAAGAAAATATCTTGCGCTTTGCGACGCCTCTGAAACGCGTCGTAACGATTATTAACTACATCGGCCTTCTGCTTCCCTCGAAATTACGTGTATCGAGAGGCAATTAACGGTCTCCGGTTGGCCGGTTAACGGGCAAGTGTCGATCTTTGATATAAGCACGTTTGCATAAGTAGTTTTCTCGATGAATGTTCGTGGCCGCAAAGGAAAGACTCGCTCCTGTGCCTCTTAAAAGTATCTTCTTCATTCGGTGTTGAAGGATAAAAGAGTTCTCTTGTTTTAAAAAGTTTTTGTAGAGTAATTTTAATTTCCCGAAATAATTGTATGCAAAACAACTGTGGTCTAATTTCAACTTTTACTTTGTTTTGGGAAAACAGAAGTTTATTGTTAAAATTAGAATTTATAATATTGGCAAAAATGAGGCAAAAATGGGATAACAACGGATTTAATTGTCTTCTCTGCTTGTATTATTCAAATTGCAAATACGAATAATTTTCTATTGGTCAATTAGCGGGTGATGCCGCACGAAAATCATGGACTATTGTAAATTATACGTGACAGCTTCGTTAATCCATGAGCTTTGGCGGGGCAGCTCTTTAATCGCTCGTTGTTCGATTAACGGAAAATCAATCGAAACGATCCTCTGATGCGCATTTCATCGCATGGCACTCGCGTATTGTTTGAATCGGAATTCAAAAATGTGGCTCGACTGAAATCCGCAGAGCCGACTATTATTAATTGGAATTAACTGTGCGAGTTTGAAATTCGCGAATCCGCTTTGCGCGGATAGAAATATTTTTCACATAGCATTTCGTAAAAACAATTACAGTTTGTTCTGTTATAATTTTATTATAATCAGTTCTTTTCTTATCACCTGTAGCTCTGTGTAAAATTTAACAATTATTATTTTTTAAATAACAGTATTATTATTTTTTAAATTTACATAAAAGTAATTAAAAAATTAAAAAAAAGAAAAATAGATTAGAATAAGATTTTATAAGACATTTTTAATAGCGCTTTGTTTAAATTATGCAGTTTAAATTTTAAGATCTAAAGTGTCTCAACAATTTAAAAAATATATAATATGTTTAATACGAAATACGTAATACGGAATATGTATACGTAAATGTGTAATATTCTACATTTTTAAAATCTTAAAAAATAAAGCAACAGAAACAAATTGAAGCCAGTTGACATTTCCGACACAATGATTTTTGGTCGCCCCCCGGCTAGATTGAAACCTGACGAAGTTCGTGAATGAAATTACACGTTCACTGCGCGTTCACGTAGAGAAAAACGGGCGCGTTGCTCGGCACCACTTTTGTCCTGTCATTACACGCCGTATTTCATAATGTCATTTGCAACTGACGTAACTGCACCGTGCAGTTTCTAAGCATTATCGTCCTCGGCTTGCCCTTTGCAACTGTTGCCCGACACGTATACACATACATATACAGTCGACCCAATTCTCGTCTGTGCTCTCACGAATTCTATGAATATTTGAGCGAGTCGAAAGGTTTTGCTGATGACGCCGAGGACCGGTATGCCATTGTTCGCGAATCTTCCAGTTTCCATTCTCGCGATACACGTAAAGTAGGAAAGTATGCCGAGATTTGATCCCGATTACCGTCGATCAGTTTCGCGCCATCGCCATCGCCGAGGAAACTTTCAACATAGTCTGCAGCTTAATCGCAACGATTGTTGAAAATTAACACTTCGACGGATGCCATTGAAAATTAGACAAATCGTTTCCTTCGCTTGCTCGTTTCGCAATACATTACTTTTTCCGCGGGGATTCCATGGCTTTTATCGCGCCGTTATTACCGAGACCGTGAAGATTATTTGTTCGACGCGATAATGAAACCAAGCGCTCTTGCATTTACGGCCCGCCAGCATTGAGACATTAAAGCGACATTATGCGCGCGACGCGAGGTAACGCGTTATGAGGTAACAGCAGATTTTCGCGCTCGTGAAGTGCGATGTTTCAAATTCCGTAAATTCCATCTGCGACTTTCGACAAAGTGCCGCTTTATTTCGCTTACATATGTAATGTAAATACTTTCTTTTAATTATTTTGTTCTCTCAATTGTTATTCAATGAGAGTATTTTAGTTTTGTTAAATAATATAAAATAATTATCAACAGGTGTTGTTGGCGGTCGTACTTTGTACGACAGGCACATTGAGCGCACCACAAAGACCGCAACAAAGTGGCGCGGAGAAAGATGCGGTGATCACGTCTCAGCAGCTCGAAGTCAACTTCGATGGCAATTACGTCAATAAGTAAGTATAATGTCAGAATTTTCAAATATGTAATTTAATACATATTTTACAGCATTAAATTAGAAAAATATATTAATAGAATGAAACAAACGGAGATATAAAGTCAAACGATATTTCATTCAAAATCTGTTTTCATCATCGTTTGAGTAATTACGCCATCATCGACAAATCCGTCTTCATTAGCAAATCAATAACTTCGCGAAAATCGTTTATGACGCGAACATTCCGCACGACCCACGCAAACATTCGCATCTTTTTCGCCTACCGCGACCGCACATGAGGAAGACAATGGATATGGAGAAGATCAGCAGGTACCTGCATACATTAGGCACCTGATGACACCAGTTTACCGGCGCGGCTGCCAATTGTCGCCCACAATGATCTGCCTTCTGCATAAATTCATTGTTATGCGCGAGTGGGTGCAGTCGCTACTGTGCCGAGGACTTTTCCCCTCCGTCTGTTTCTATTTTTTGCTTTCGTTCCGTATGCAGCCATCTCAAGCTGTATTATGCCTCTTGAATCCGCATTTTGCCCGCATACGAGTTGCGGATGGCATTCCTCGATCGACTCAACGATCATCAATGACAATAGACTTGTTTTGTTCCTACCCGTCGGATTAATTGAGTTATTAAACTACGGATTGTGTGTGTGTACGGAGTATCTTATTCTAACAATAGGAACAAAGTTAGAGATCATATTTTCTTGTAATCGTATATGTTTATTTTTTTATATGCATTTCGGTTAATTACTACTGCTTTTTTGTACTATTTTCTTCGACGCTTTTGTTTCTCTTTCATTCTTGTTACGTTGAAAAATGCGTTTCCATACAATAAGAAATTGATGAAAATTTTTCACGGGAGAAAATAACATTGGAAATATATTAAAATAAAATAAAAAAATATATTGTCTGTACTACATTGCGCGATTTTCTATCCTACAGCTTCGAGACAAGCAACGGTATCAGTCATCAGGAAACAGGCAACCCAAAGCAAGTGGACAATGAGACGCCGGTAGTCTCGCAGGGCCAGGACTCGTATGTGGCGCCGGACGGCCAACAGGTCAGCATCACGTGGTTAGCGGACGAGAACGGTTTCCAAGTGCAGGGCTCTCACATCCCCACGGCGCCGCCCATCCCGCCGGAGATCCAAAGGGCGCTCGAATGGAACGCCGCTCATCCCGAGGAGGACGACGGCGGTCAGAGACCACCGGGAAGAGGTGAGAGCCGTTCCGATTAAATAATGAAGAGAGATATCACTTATGGACTATTTTGCAATGATAGAGATCTCTCGGCGTCTCAATGATTCAACAAACATCGCGAATTACGCTCTAACTATAGACATTTAAAAAATGGATACAGAGCATTCTCGATAAAATTCGCGTAAATAAGTTATTACGCAACCCGAAAACGCGAGATTTCTTTTTAATGACGGAGATGCGAAATAATATCATGAAACATCCGCGTGAGTGAGGTCAACATGCAAAATTTATCGCGGACTCGAGAACACAATTAGAGGAGATTAATAATCAAATGTGCGACTTCAAAAGGCACGGCATTTGAAACAGCATTTCCGCCCCTCGAGGGATATCACTCGTGTGGCGTTGTGTATACGATAGAAATGAATTTTCTTTGTGTTCTAACCGGGGCTTTAATTAATTCCGTAATTGGAAGCGCCTCTACCTGGAGTGGACAATTAAATCGCGCGATATCTCTTTTTCGTCCGGCTGAAATTCGGCCGTGCGATTCTTCACAAAAAGCGTTGGCGGTAACCGAATTACCGCACGTAACGGAAAACACACGACTTGTGGAAATAAATTGGCGATCAAACTCATAGCGTCGCTATAGCGTTCTGCGTAGTATCGCTGTAAAATTAGTTTACGCGCGATGCAATCGACAATAATAACACGTTTTGATCAAGCAATTAGCGAAATTTTTTTGCGCGTTAAACGTTAAGCCTCGTCCTCTGTTTCTGACAAATCGCCCAGGTGGGGGTAAATTAGTTTACTCAATCGCATCCAGCGGTAGCTCACGAGACTCGCCGCTACGCCGCTGTTTAATTCACTTTGGTCCTGAACTCGAAATTGAAATTGGCCCGAATCCGGGCGTACCGGTGAACCGAAAATATCTTTGTGGCGACTGCACACGTGGAACGAAAACAATTTCGGCATACGTTAACCGCTTTTACGGAGCAAAATCTGGTTAGCTCGTATGGAGATACGCGCCGTCGAAGACCTCATATTTCGTTGATAATAGTCGAGATTTGATATTCGTTGCACGGAACGGATTCTTTTAGCAACGTAGAATGTACTAGAAGTACAAATATAATCGCGAATTGCTATATTGCGGTTTTTATAATACGTGAATCGCGAATTTTAATTTTAAACGCAGACTGAACTTTTCCTTACTATTTTATATTTTATTTGAAAGCAGATCAAACTTTTTGCCTCTGTATTTATATTTTATATTTCTATTTTATTCTAAGTCCTATATTTGTACACCTATGTTTGCATAATTTTTTAAATATTTTTAGTTAAGTGTAAAATATATTTTCGTTAGGTATAAAATATATAATATAAGTAGATCTATTACTGTGTTGTATTGCACTCTTTTACAGAATTTTTCACACGCGTGCACACATAAGTAGAATCTAATAAAGCATCTATCTACTTTATCATATTCGTAGCCGTCTCTGTAATCCGTCTCCGTTAAATATTTCAGACATCACTCTCACGTTTTTGGTCATCCTTCTGTTGCAGGTTATCAGCCCAATTTTACCTCAAACGTGACCTGATTCCGAGCCAGCTTGCCATGGACAGAACCGACCCCGAGCTTTCGACGCAAACATAAAAATAAATATAGTGTGGTATATTAATCTAGGATATACAAACGTAACACGAAAACAAGGCATGAGACACCAGTATATAATAAGCTATATACTCCCGAAATGATTCTTTATCTTACTTGTATAGATGAAAAATAATGCGCACTGTTCAGCAATTTCATGAGGGAGGAATGCCGATGCATGCGCGCCGCCTCCGCAAGAAACGAGAGCGACACGCGCGTACGAACGTTTACGCCGATCGTCAATCGTTAATAGTATATATATGTATACTTAACTTGTGATTTTTTTTTGTATATAAATAAAAACGTTTTGCCCAAGTTGGAAATTTTCTTGTACTTGTATTCGCTGCTTAACCTTTTCCATTTCCATCCCTCGGTTTTTACTTAAACGGTACCGTGTGAAATGCGTATACAATTAATTTTCTCAATATTAAATATAAATTAAACAAACTATTTTTTTCAAATTTGATATATTACTTTTTATATTTGTTAATAGACTGCGATAAAGTAGAAATTTTATATTACTGCAAACTTTTTATTTTTTACTTTTTTATATTAAACAAGTTATATCGTTATAAAGTTATTTTTTACTATTGCACATACAAGAAAGAAAATACGTAAAAGACTTCGGGAAATGACATAAGTATTTCCTAAAGTGGTTCGTAAGCCACTTTTCATCGTGCAGACTATTTTCTAGGTCTTTATTTTTCACGAGATCATTTCGTGCGTTCTGCAAAGAGAACGAGCATTTCCGAGTCTGTTATTTAGATATCGTGCATCTAAAATAGCGTACACGTGAATAATTTTACGAGGAGGACGCGAAGAAGGTGTTCTCGCTTTACATGTGTATTGGCCGTAAGCACGAAACGACATAAGTACAGCGAATGTTAAATAATGGCGGGAGCGCACACTTACGCCGTAAAAATGTTTTCCGTTTCGTGCCGCGCGCTCGCTCGTCGCGAAAAGGTTAAAAACTGCGGATGCATCTTCGGCATCGCGCCGTTATTATGCAATTTTGCCTCGTGTAGATTTTCAATCTGCCCATCCTTCGGAGTGAACGTTGCATTAAAATACCTCGGCTTTGGCGCGAGCAAGAGCTTGGCGTATCTGACAGCAAACTCATTCTAACAATGAATGCCAATAAAAAGAAATCTATGACTCGTATTATACTATTATATTATGTAGGATGTCGCGGGACCTTCGGCTTCAATTTTAATGACTGATCCTTTTACGAAATATATAGCTATGACGCGTATCCTGTTGCAAATATAAAAAGTACATTTGTGACAATTGACAAGATAATTCAATGATGGACAATGAAACTGCATTACGTAAACGATTGGAGAGACCCGCTAAAATAAAATATCCAATAAATATGACATAATTCTTTCTACATAATAACATCGCGAAATTGCCATTTCGATAATAATAAATAGCCGTATCGATTGTTCTCTCATCCAGCCTTTGTTTTTTGCCACAATTCGAATGCGCAGCGCATATTCACACAAAAACCTAATTATCATGACGAAATTACGGAGGCGGCAAGAATTTCATTGCAGTCATCGTTAGAGATACATACTGTCAAATATGATAATTACAGAATTCCTAATACCCAACGTTATGAATCATTCTAACTGTACTGTAAGATCGTAAGTTTCTTTTTATAAGCTTGATTATAAGATCTAATATCTATTATATTTCAAAAAATACACGGATATAATTAAAATAATATTACTTCTTTTAGTATTATTTGACATTTTGATTAATCTATTATTAATTAATGCAAGCAATTTTTTTCGAAACATTTTCTCAAATATGTTTTTACCTATTTATTCCCGATCAACAACAGAATTTACATATTTACTCTTGTAAGGCCTTTTCTCATAGATGTTGACTTGAAAGTTGCTTAAGATTCAAGCGGTTTTATTTTCAGATTAAAAAAATCCAATAAATGTAGGAAAAAAATATGAGCGGCCATATACTAGTTACTTAACGTCTCAATAAAAGGCGTGGGCTATAAAAAGAGTATAAATGACAACAAGAAAGTTAAATGTTCACGAAAGTCGCAACAAAAAAATCTGCAAGGATGTAATCGTGCTAATAACCAATCGTGCATCACAGTTATTTTGCATTAACATTAAAAATTACCTAAGTGCAATGCACATCAATCGCGAAAGGAATTCCGAAGAAAAACGAGTGGGTATACAACGTTTCAAAGGTTAAAACACTACATGTATATCCAACGTACTTGAACTTTGCATCTTTGCACGAAGAACTACATTGTGTTGAGCTTTTATGTGCTTTCTTTATGTGTTTTCGATTCAATTACAAATTTTAGAAAAAAATTTTGATAATTATATTTTACATTACATAGAATTTTAAAAATTCTGCACTTTAAACTGTGCTTTTAATTTTTGCCTTATATATTGAGTTCACAATTCTCATGGATATCGTAAAACAATCATTATGTTTATCAAATATTGGCAACAAATTAATAATAATATCAAAAAGGTGCAGAAATACAAAACTTCTGACGCGTGTCTCAAATCATAGCATAAAAGTTTAATGAATACGTTTCTTTTGTAGTGTGTCTATAATAATGTTCGAACCGGTATCATCGAGTGGCATTTGAGCAATACGCCAACGATAGCACAGGGCACTTCTATCTATAAAAGGAGGATGCAGTGGATAAACGCTCGTCAGTAGTAACTTGCACGCAATATCTGGAAAACGAGGTAGTTCAGGTAAGAGTTGTTAGTTAAATTTCAAAGTTGCAATGTTGTTGCAATTGTAGAATTTACATAACAATAATGCAAGAAAACTTAACCAATTCCAGAATTATTTTACACTTATTGCTTATTATTTCAAATTATAATTGTAAATTTTACAAAATTCTAATTATTTAATACACTAAAGATAACTGAAAATAAAAATTTCTATAAATTATAAAGTTTGTAATTTTGATTCATTCTTCAACTATTATTTCTTGCGCCTACCAAATTTTTTTATTACTTCACATATTAACTAATTTTTTTAAAGTAATGTAAATCGGATTTTGCATTACTTGGAATTTTAACAAGACTCGATTATAAATCACGCATTTGTGGCTGGCGACCAAGCGTTAGTCGGTCTCTAATCTATCTTCGGGCCTGCTCAGGATGAAACTGCGCGTAATTATCTTGCTGAGCCTGGCGGCAGTAATATCGGCGGCAAACGAGCCAATAGCCATCATCAGGCAGGAGCAGGATATCAGTCCAGACGGTAGCTACTTCTTGCAATGGGAAAGCGCCAATGGGATAACCTTCGAGGAACGGGGAGTTCAAAAGAATGCTGGCCAGAAGGATAAGGAGGCTGAGGAAGTGCGCGGTTCGGCGACATGGACCGCGCCCGACGGACAGAAAATTAATCTCGGCTGGCTGGCGGACGAAAACGGCGCTATCTTCGAAGGCTCTCATCTACCGACTCCGCCACCCCCGCCCGCAATTCCACCCGCTATCCAGCGCGCTCTCGACTGGATAGCCGCTAACCCACCCAGAGAAGAAAGAAACAAAGTGTAATTACTGATGCATCATGGCTACAAATACGTCGGACATTTATGATACACTTGTTTAGCCTAAAGTCGTATATAAAAATGAGACTATATATTGGATAAAAACATGATCTTATTTCCGATTTCTTGTAAACATTAATTCCTTGATAAAAAAAATTAAATACATTATGAACAATTAATTAGGACAATTGTGATATTGAATTATCAAAGTTTGCCAAACAGATAAATTCAGTTGTCAATTACATTAGGATTGATAACCGTTTCTGTTTAATATACAGTATGAAATTGTTAAGCAATAATAATAATCAATTATGTATTGTTAAAGAGTATTATGTTTACATCAATACTGTAATTATTTTGGTTGGATTATAACAATTTAATTACCACAGAGAGCAAAATATACTATAAATATATAATATACTAAAACTAGAAAGAAGAAAGAAAAAAGTTATTAATTTAAGAACGAAACATCTTTTAAGTAAAGAATTTATAAATCTATAAATTTATAGATATAAATTTATTTATTAAGTACTTTGCTTGAAAATAACTGTAATATACTTAATAGTTACTTAATAGAGTATTTAATAAACAAATTTGTATTCGTAAGTTTGTAAATTTCCTTAATCCTTAATTTATAAGATGATAAAATATAATTATTTTCAAACATTCTAGATTTGCAATGTTTTTAATGCAATTTTAACCCAACAAAAAAATTTTGCTAATGTAGTAAAAAATATATCGACGATAAAACATTTTTCTGACAGCTAAGCGATTAAGAGCTAAGCTATTTACCTTTTCGCGGTGTACAGCTATTTTCTTTGCCTACTTTGTTAAAAGAATTTGCAAGAGCGTTTTAAGAAAGAGTACTTGATGTGAGAATAGCAAGCTCATCAAGTTGGGTGTGGGCACGTGACTACGCAGTAGAAAAATCGGGGTCAGAAATAGCCATTGCGGCGGAAGAGAAAGATGGATCGTTATGTAAGTAAATGATAGTGAGAGTTCTTGAAGTCGCATTGTCAAGTGTTTTCTCAAAACCGAGATACAAATACAGCAATAGTTCAAACAATAGTATAATTATGTAAGAGTAAAATGTCTATCTTGAGAATCTTGACTACTATCTTCTTTAAATTGATAAATAAATGCCGAAATAATTTGATATTAAAATAATAAAATAATAAAATATAATAAAAAACAAACTCAAATAATAAACTAATAAAATTGAGTAAATTTAGTAATATCAAATAATTTTTACTTAGTCTAAAATTTACGTTCATAAAATATGAATGGTTTTCGTATACATAGTAAATTACAGTATAGTAATTATATAATAATTGGCGTTCTGTGCTATTATTCATCCAAATTAAGCAAGCAAATATGAATAAATTAATCAATATTTCTCTTCCTTTTATTTGTCTCTTCTGTATTTTTTATTTCTTATTATAATTCTTTTATATTTTTTGTGTAAAACATTTACAGCGGTCAAAGTGAACATGTGTGTAAACAAGCGGATCGCTCGTCTACGGGAATATTCATGTACGTCAATTATTACGCTAAATTGTTTACGGAGGTCCGTGTATGTATTGCTTTCGTGCACCACCGCGTTTAATTTGATAATTAATACCAAGCGGCCGCTTCATAATTCGGTTATACATTCCGCGAATCATGTTTCTTGATTGCGGCAATAATTTCGATTCGACGGCACGATCATAATCGGTATTTGTTGAATTGCGAGTGCAAATAAGACTGCGATAGATGGAATTAATCGAGGCTCGATAATCGAATTTATGGAACTATTAATAAACATTATGAGTCGCCGGTGATATCGCGCCGATGTATCGCCGATACGCGCATCCTAATGCATATTCAGATTAATATTTTGTCAAATGTAAAATTATTATGTTTGTGAAATATGGTGACACAATAGCTTTACTAGCAAATGCGATATTTGTTTTATGTGCAATAAATGCACCATTTGACACATCGTAGAAAACACGTACTTTCTCTAGTCATAAGCAATAAAACTCGTGCTCAGAAGAATGTTGTTATGCTAATAGTGTGACATCAATAATTCTTGATATCTATATTTCAAATCGATGGTTGAATTAATGGATGGAGTATATATTCAAGTATACATGTAAAATATAACATATAATTAATAAAAAATCTGTTTTTTGAATAATTTAAATAAATTTTAATTAAAAAATATTTATTTTAATTTAATATCATTAAATTCTCGATAATTTACATCGTGAATAGAAAGTAACACAGAACAGAATTTTTATTACATTTTGACTAAAAAATCAAATTCGCCGACGAATCTAAATCAGTCGAAAAAAAATGTCACTCTTGGGAGTAATATTTCCAAACATGTTTCTTCTTTTTGGAAATAAACTTCGAGAGATTCAGCCGTAAGTTTACGGCGGAAAGATTTATATAAGTTGCGGTTACGTGATGCCGTAACAAATTTAGAACACGATTCACGTGTTAAACGGCAATACATGATGAATGTCGCGGCCCGCGGTGAAAGTTCAACGAGAGCGCCGCGAGGTATAATTAGTTCCGGTTCCTCCACCCCCCGGAGCCTTCGGATGTCAACGTCAATATGTCGAGTCGGAATCTTAGACGATTCCTTTTAGAAAGTTTACGCATAGATAACTTGCCTGCAAAAACTACGTCGAGCAAAAGTTATCGGCGATATCACTGCGACGGCATATTAATTTCTATATTGCAAAGACATTATATTGCTTAAGGTAACAAATCTTGTTATACAAAGGCATTTTTTGATTTAATCAATGGGACAGATAAAAGTAGTCTGAAAAAAATGTGTTAATGTTGATTTCCATCTCTCATGTCTCAGAATGACATGGACAGCTTTGAAGATTCAATCGCTCCGTACCATTCTTCTCGAGATAGCGGATCTCTTTGTATAGAAGATTTGATTATATCAGCACAGAGCGTAAATCACTCGTAATGAAAAGAGTTGTAAGAAGAATCTATTAGAGTTGATTTGTATTTATCATGCATTAATGCAGAATGACAGTCTCGATGAAACATTTTTGTTAATCCTCAATTATTCTAATCGAAACTAAATCAAGTCAATCGAAGAAATTGAAAGATTTGTATAAAAAAATGCAGATACTATCAAAATTGTCCGAATAAATTATAATGCTATTTAACCTGAGATTGATCTACTATAATAGTTTACGTAAATTTAATCAGAGCAGAGGTAAGAGTGAAATTACATTGTTGCCGAGCACCGTAAATATATGTGAATCCTTATTACCGCGGAAGCGATAAAGTAAACAAGCTCCATCAAGATGTCTAAACGTCCGTTACGCCGAACGATCGTAATCAAAGTTGCTCGCGGTCCCCATATGACGCGCATTATATAAACGCATGCACGTCTTTGTCCACTTTACGTGATTGATTAACGATAGCGAGCAAGGTCCGTCGTAATATAGAGACGCGCGGCAGCTGTGTTTACAGCGATGTAATATCTTACAGTAATAGTCGTGCGACTTTCCACCGTAAATCAGCCCGACGTAATCGCGACGGCCGGCCGTCTATATAGACCTTTTTGTAAATGCTAGCACAACTGAGAATGCAGCTTATTTTTAGCCGCGCTTTCAGCTGTAAAGTTCAAACCGCGGAAACAATCGACTTAGCGATCGACGCGAATAAGTCGGAAAAATCATCATCGACCAAGAGTTAACCGGAAGGAATAATCTTATTATTGCGCATGTGTTAAAGAAATAAAGGCAAATAAATTTTTTTATTCACGTGACAGTCACAAATCGTAAACTTTCCCTCATCCTTCCTAGAAACGCTCGAGAATCTCCGGCAGAATCTCGCGAGTACTTTCGCATATTTCGTCGGGAGGATCAGGCGTATTAATAGAATACGTCTTTCCTGGGATGCAACATTTATTCTCAATGCACCGTGATATAACCTGACGACATTACATAGTCGATCGCGATATATGCTTGTATCCTCATATGTATATATATTATTATATATTAATACAATAGAATAGTAAAATATGTGCACAAATATAATATCGTAAACGTACAATAAATATTTACAACAATTTGAATCAGAGCAGTCCGTGTTCGTTTCGAGGGCGAGGACAACGCGGGCGGTGGCGGCGACGGCGATACTCATCATTCAGCATCTCGTGGATCGTCTTCCATTCTTTTGTGTTACGGAATAATTACGTGAGGTCGTGAGATCACATAATGGACAGCGGTCGTAGATTTACACCTGGTTCTCGTCATCCTTAGACGGATGCGCCGCGATCCACTCGAGAGCCTTCTTAATCAACGGTGGGATTTCCGGTGTGGTGGGCAGGTGCGCGCCCTCCGGCTGGAAGCCATTGGCGTCGGCCTTGTACGTCAGCGAGATCGGCTGGCCGTCGTCGCCGGTGTAGCTGAAACCGCCCTGTGCGCTCATCGCCTCGTTCTCGGAACCGACGTTTTCCAATTGACCTTCCTCTTCAGCCTTGATGCCGTTACCAGTCTCGTAGCTCCATTTGTAAGATCCGTCGGGATTAGGACCATCCTGACTTTGACTGATGATCGGTATCGGCTCGTCGGCGGGCGCTGCCGCGACGCAGGCCGCTAATATGATCAAGGCTACCTGACAATCGCAGGACAAACAATCTTTTAGCATCAAATGCGCGAGGCAATGATACGCATTTAAATCGGAGAAAAGTTAGAGATAATCGGGTCGTCCTAGTCAAAAAATTCACGAGAGTCACGTTCGATTAAATTCAACGCGAGAAAAATGTACGCATTTAATAGGGCTAGAAAAATCTAAGCTTTATCGGTATGGCCACGTTGATGATGTAAGTGTGGCACTATTTTCCAACGATGAAATTAATTGCGTATACAAAATCATAAAGAATGATGAGATTATTATCTATTTAATAGCCGTCGTTAAATCATTAAAAACGTTTACTACTCATTTGTCACGGGAGAATGTTGCAGTGACAGATTTATCGTCACAACTATCCAAATTGACCTTTGATTTTTTCCTAGTTCTGTTAATTCAACGCGTTTGGATTCTCGTATATATATTTATGTAAAACTTTCACGTTGCGCGTTAAGACGAGTGTTTTGAGAGCTAAATACACATAAGAGCTAAATAGGCATCGCTATCGACTGATTAAAATCACTTAAACGTGACATTATGTTACGAAACCGGCCGTTGCATCAAAGTTAAGATTATAAATTTGCGAAAGATTTAATGCAAGCGTTGAAAGTAAAGGCAACATTCATCCTTGAAGATTAAAGATATAACAATTAATTCTGCGGAATTATTAATCGATGTCTCGCACATCGATATCAGCTGGGATCTCGATTAAAGTAATGATTATGCGAACAAGAATGCACCCGCGGCAAATATAACTTATTAATGTACGTGGATAAAATATCCAAGCTTAAGTCCAAGCCAACGCTACGTCGCGGCGCGGAGAGTTAAGCGATCTTACAATTAGTCAACTACCACCGAGTAAGTTTCCAGATGCATAAACATCAGATGAATATTAGCCTTTTCGTTGGCTTCCTTGTTTGACGTACACGTCGTTGCACAAGTATTTATGCGAGACATGCTAATGGCTACCGCCGCTTACATATTCAGCCATCTCTAAGAGAACGCAATTTGCAAAACGTAATAAAAACGGTGATTTAGCGAAATTGTGGAGTAATTAAAAATAGCGCGTACACGAACTCTATCGAAATGTTTCTGACATTTTCGGATTTTAGTAGTTATTTTTATTTATCACTATCAAAATTATTACTGATTTAATTTCAATATTTCGTGTTGATATTTAATTCATTGTTAAATCGAGCGTGCTATGATAAAGAGAAAGCTGTGCGAATCAGTGGAAATGAGCGGGCGCCGCATGCCGCAGTAGTGATACCGTTTTGAGTCAGACACGACAGGGATCAGCGGTAGTATCAGCGTTATTAGGTCAGACGCCGTGCCTCGAATAAAATGAATCGCCGCTAATGCGTTTCACATTATTGTCAAAATATTATAATTTCGTAAATAATTATTACTCCAATTTCCTGTCTGTAGGGCAGCGATAATTCGAATTGAAGTACAAAATTATTATGTCGCGAAATTATCATGAAAATGGTTTTAAACCTTATTGAAAATAGCCATTATTGCTTTTTAAATATTATTTAATATTATTATATTTATCCAAATACACACAGAATATTGAGTGAAAATCGCATTTAATGAAGAGCCATGCTATTTGTCAAAAATTGAAATAATTAGTTTTATACTAAAATTTATTTAAAAGTCACCTCGGAACTTTTCAAGTAACAATTAAAAAGTATACATTTGAAATTAATTAAAAACTTGAATATTTATATTTGCAATTTTTCTTTTATCGTATTATAAAATTTATTGATCATATTTCTTCTTAAAAAATTGTTTCAATTTTCGTCAGGGTATACATCGTACTGTTTGCATATATCTGTTAGTATATATTTGGTAAAAACGTTCGCGCGTTACACGGAGACAAATTTTGGGTGTATCCCGCCGGCGTCGATCGATATCCTTACCACCGATCCTCCGGGACACGCTACTTACCCTCCGGTATCTCGCCTCGCCCCCGCGTTTCACCCAGCGACATCCGAGAGTCCCGGAGCTCTCGGTATACTGTACCGAATAATCGAGAAGTGTCACTTACAACAACGTAATTCACAGAGCGTCGCTTCGATACGCGCACAGGGACCCGCCGTGAAATGCACGCCAAATTCACCAACGACCCAGGCTACGATTAACCGGGTTTATCCCGCGCGACTTTATCAGTGCACGAGTCGCACGAGTTGGAAGCTTTCGGGCTTCCTTCCTCCCGCCCCCGCCCCGAGTTTTTCTTCTTAATTAGCGCTTACCAATGACGTGTACATGCTGCAGCAGTAATCGCTGATGGGTAAGTGTTTATCAAGCCCCGCAGCGCTCGTCGTATATATACCCCCGGAGGCATCACTAACACCACCGTTGGTTTGATGCACCGATGGCCACCATGTTACGAGTAAGATGCACATGGGACACACGGAGAGGCCCCGCGTGCGCGGGACCGACAGAGGGATTTACACGGATTCACGTTTAACGTAGCCGCAGCGGTGCACACGTGTGCGTGTGTGTCGCCGCCGGAGCCTGTACGGGGAACGCGAAGAGACAACATACACTCTACATCAACATCGAGGAGCGACCATCTTCCCTGAGATCACCATGTCACATTGCGCTAAATGTCATCGGGTCCCAGTTAGAAGATGCTTATCCAATTGTCATAATGTCTTTAACGACGTGCATGGCGATACGTTTTTTTTTGTCGATTCGTGCCTGGAAAAACGCTCACCGATCACGATGACCGTTGCTCTTTCTTTCTCTGGCAGATTCATTGGCGCATTTCAATGCGTATATTCTTTCAATTATCTTGCTGATTGATGTATTCGGATTTTAGAAGCGTAATTGTTATAAGGAAATAAATTGCATAATGTTTATATAATAGCTCTTCTGAATGCTTCCTTGAATTCGTATTTCTTTTATTATTTTCTCTTATAATGAATTCGAGGAGGCTGCCAATTTACAACTCATAATATGAGAATTCTGACTTCAATGTGTTTGCACAAATCTAAGAGAAAGTTTACTGAAATGAAAATAACATCTCTGATAGTGATGTCTATTATATTTTTCAGTCACTCGAGTATTGTTATTGTCAGATTAAACAATCGAGAGCGGGAGTGTGCTCGAAAGTCTATTTGCGGTTGTCCTATAGATTTATGTTACGGATTTTTATATAAAAAAAGCTGCATCTTTCACTTGAACAACGCATGCATGTGACACATGTGGGAATAGTTTACCTTCCACTGGATTTATTAAATATATTGACCATCGTTTAGATGTCGTTTAGATGTCTTGTAGCGATATGCACATAGATGCACGGTAAAGCTGAATTATTTTTTCATTATTTTCTAATCGTTTACCGACAATTTTATTGTTCTATCGTTTCACATAAATATTGCGTAACGTTACTCGTCGTTGCAAGGCGCATTTTCCGATTCTAATCGATAAATCACGGGGTCATTAAACAATCAATCAGTCGGACATCCGTCAAATGGTTATTTGCCGCGATTTTTCTAATCGTAAAGTCGAAATTATTCACATGTGCGAGCGATTCGGCGCGGCGAGATCAAACGGAATGCTCACGCCATTGGCTGACAAACGCACGACACACACATCGCTGCATTGTCCGTTCTAATCAATCGGAAACGACCTGACAGTCTCTCATTATCGACCGATAATTATATGGAGCGTTATATCGCACCATTTACTTTGTCACTTTCCACGTGAGAATAACGAGCTCGCGTTTATCGCGACTGCAATTGAGAGATTTGACGGAAGAACCAACAGATTTCAGTTTTTCGGTCACAATCAAGTCGGGAAACGTTAAAACTTCTCGCTCGAAATATATATTGATGCGCGCGATCGTAGAAATGGTATCTCCCGCAGGCAGGGATTATATTTGCGCAAAAAGAGAAGCAAAGAGCTTTTTTATCATTTTCATCGGAGAGCCGTAAAACGCGATATTAGCTTTTTTTTATTACATAACGACATGCACGACTGTGTACCCGATATGGCTGATATAAAGCGACGCAAGTGCCGGAAACTGCAGGATTATGCATGTACCTAACATGCGTATCTAATTAATAATCAATGCTGCTCCATCGGGATGTTTGAGATTGTCAGTAAATATCGCCGATCAGCTATGTTAATGTCTCTGCATAAGGGTTATATGTGTCGCAGATGCTGCGCTACATTTCATAATCAGCGATCAAGGTATGCGATCTAAGGTATTACATAATTCAAGAGAAATTAAGTTTATTCTAAATTGAGAATGTAATGTAAATGTAATGTAAATTTCCAGCAGCGTAAATAACAAAGATTTTCCATCGCCGATAAAAACCGCGGAAATATCGTTAAAAGTAATCGCATTAATCAACAGTAGTTTAACGATGTCGCAATCTTTTTTTCCTCTCTCGCGATTTTGGGGAAGGCCATCCATTTTTCCCCGCGCGATTATTGATTGTGGACATTACCGGCGAAGTATACCGATGTAACATTAGACAGAATCCGACGCAGGGGAGCGGTGAATTATGCCTCGATAGGCGTTAGTTTTCTTCTTTTACGGGAAATGTAAGGAGCACGTAGCACGACAATAAATTCTCCCGCATCTCCAGGAATGCCAGCTGCAGCGTCGTGCGGCGCTCGTCGTACACCCGTGTGATTCACAAAGTCACGTCATCGATATATCCGAGCGATTTTCTCACGAGCGGATTTGCATTTGCGAGCCGCTTTAGAATGCATGAAAAGCCGCGGCTGATTTAAAATAATCCGTCAATCGGAACTAGGAAGGGACACGCGAGCGTTTCTCTTGAAAGTCGAGGACGCTCGACGTGATAAATGCTAAAATGCGCCACGCGATAGCTCAGTGAATATTTCAGCGTGTCACGAAATAGAATGAAACATTGTAACGAAATATTTAACTTAACTAAAATATTTTGCGGCACGATATTTTCGCGGTGAAATAACATTCGCAAAAGCGTTATGGAAAGATATGCGATACATGTAATTCTACTTTAGAAAGATATGTTAAAATAATAATGAAAGGAAAAAACCAAATTACTTCTTCTCTCATTTTCTCCATTTTGATCAAAGATAATTTTAACTTCATCAACTTTATTAATCAAACGATGAGCTCCACGTTCTTAATTAATTAAATAGCAGAATTTGCGAAAATTGTTATTATCATAGAAAGCTAAATGAAGTACTCAGCACAATAATGGAGATTTTATCTCAAGATTTATTTTAAGAAAAGTGTGTTTAAAGTTTTCTTAACTCCAATAAAAAAAGTCAGTTAATTTGTTTCACTTTTTATAGAGTTGAGTCAGTATTGTGCGATTTAAAATTGTCGTCGTGCTATTCACAAAATCTTCGGCGGAACGAGCGCTTCAGGCACAATAAGAAACGTTAATTGATGCGCAAAGAAACAAGTTGAACGATCGTTATCTCGTCGATCGCGGGATGACCGGCGAATATAGGGGAAAGTTGACGCAATACGTTTGGGCATTTAATTAGCTGTATTACGTAACGAGGTCGCGGCGTGTAGGTAGGTAGGTAAGGCACAAAGGATGTGTGAATAAATATCAGTCGTGAAAGCGTCTAACTCGGTAACGTCTGCCGGGAGCGCTAGGAACGCGCTGTCTCACGATTTAGAAGCGCGTCTTCGACAGGGGTGCACACCGCGCGACACCGCGACACCGTCGTGTGCGATCGTTAATGTAATCAAAGTTTTCCGCCGTCGTCTCGCCCGCGCCGCGTACGCCGCGCATCATTAATTTCTCGCATTACTGGGTAACATTCGCGGCTTTATCTGATCGCTTGTTAACGAGCGTGTAATCTCTCGGGACGAGCCGCCGCGGGCGTCACGTCGCTTTACTGAAATCAGGAAAGTGTTTTGTGAGACGTTCCATTAGAGACATTTTTCCAGGCAAACTTGTATTGTGGAATCTTGTGTGTACAAACTTGCCATCACACGCGCGCGTAATGCGCCATACGTTCACGTTAATGGTTTATTTAGATGATAAGCAAGCGAGACTCTCGCGTATTCCGCGAAGTGCGCTCACTTGTTTAAATTCGCATCTTTATTGGCTGCTTTGCATTCCATGCCTACTTCGCAAGATGTCTTTTTACTTATTATATACGTGTATATATAGTGTATATATAGATGTATAGATATATATATATATACATGCAATGCGAAATAATTTAATTGAATGATTATAATCGGCAAAACTTGCCAATTGCAGCTCCGAGCGATGCGATGCCCGGCTGGCCAATATCGCGCACATCTCGAAGCTCCTCATTTTTTATTTACCTGACAGATCGAGTACCGTCCCGATACGGACGCATCATCACCCGCCCACTTTCTTTTACCCCGCTTTCTATCGCGCCGCATTTATAATCACAATCACCACTTCCCCCCTGTATACGACAATCACGGTGCATGCGATGACGAGAAAGTTGCGCCGGGCCGTACCAACGTTTCGTTATTTTGAAAGATGCAAGTGCCCTGGTATCGTATCACGTTTCAGATTCTCGACTGTGCCATAATCGGCCGTGACTTTAAGATTAATGTCCAGTCCTCGGACCTTCGCCGAGATCTGAATTCAGCTTATAAGGTACAGCGTTCTGAACGCTCATTATCCTTTCGCGCGAATGCAGATCGGTGTAGTACACTCAATGACGTCTCCTAGCATAAACAGATGGTTACTCTAATAATTTATATTTAAAAGTAAAAATAATAAAAAAGAATTAATAAATTGGACATTTTCAAATTCTTTTTAATTATACGTAAAAAAGATACAAATATATTTTTGTATTTAATTAAGAATTATATTTTATTGTAAGTTCTTAAGAAGACATTAATTTTTTAATACTACTTTCATTTAAAAAACGAATAAAAAATGAATTTTTAATTTAAAAATTAATAAAGAAGATAAAGTACTATCAACTCTTATAAATAAATTAAATTTAATATTTCACAATTATATTAAGTATCAGTTTTGTTTTTATAATGTTATTTATATTTTATTATTTAATGCATTAGGACCGCTTTCAAATATTTTCTCTATCGCAGATTTGTAAGACTATAAAAACTAATACTGGATGTAACTACGTTGGTACGATACCAAAAACTAGCTAGACCTACACAAGTATTG